GCCAGGAAAAATCTTCAGTGATAGCTCCCGCTCACTATTTCTTATGGAGAGTGAGCAGACTATGGACTCGGAGCGAGATCTAAAATTTTTGCGCCTTTGTTAGGAAATGGAATTTTCACTCAAGAGGGCCTAGCATGGAAGCGCTCCAGAGAACTTTTGCGGGAGCAGTTCATTGATTTGCATCGCCAAGACTTGGATCTCTTCCATGAGCATGTTGAAAATTTGATCAATTTGCTTCCTCCCAGCGGGATTGTTGATCTTCAACCTTTATTTTTCGATCTAACATTGGATACCACAACCGCTCTAATTTTTGGTTCGTCAGTTCACAGTCTGAGAGCAGGGATCGATCAGCACAAAGAAAGCAGACTTTTTGCGGATAACTTTAATGTCGCTCAAGACGGGCTTGCTAAACGTTTTCGCCTAGCACCTTGGCACTTTCTCTACAACCCCACCTCTTTCCGCAAAGCCTGTGCTGATGTTCATCAGTTTGTGGAAAAATATATCGAGAGTTTGGGTTTACAGACTCGTCAAAGGTATGATTCGAAACAAGACATATTCATCAAAAAGATTGCAGAGGAGTCTGCAAGCCCGAAGGAGCTCCGTGATCAAATCTTGAGCATCCTCCTTGCCGGCCGGGATACAACAGCATGTTGTTTGTCCTGGACCTTGTACGTATAGGCTTTGGCTTTGCTTACCGGATTCATAATGCTAACCGCGCTTTTCGGTAATAAGCCGACTTCTTATTCGTCACGTGAATGTAATGGAAACATTACGACAAGAGATAGCTTTGGTCATGGAAGGTGGTCATATACCGAACAAGGACCAAATTAGGAAAATGCCATATCTTGCCTGCGTTATCAAAGAGAGTAAGTAGGCACCATCACTCCTTTTTCTGATGCCCTCGCCGATCTTCCCACATCAGGTCTTCGTCTCTATCCCCCTGTTCCGCTGAACAATCGTGAAGCGATTAGAACCAGTTTTTTGCCAATAGGGGGCGGTCCAGAGGGAGATCGTCCTATTTTGGTGAGAAAGGGTGAGCTCGTCGTATTTTCGCCGTACGTGAGCTCACGAAAGAAGAATATTTTTGGTTCTGATGCAAATGAATTTCGTCCCGAGCGCTGGCAGACTGGTGAACTTGAAAATGTCCGCTGGGCTTATTTCCCTTTCAGTCGGGGCCCCCGGCAGTGTCTGGGAGAGAATTTCGCCCAAATGGAGATCTCTTACACGATCGTCAGAATACTGCAATCTTTCTCACAGATTATTTTGCCTAAAGGGGAACCCAATGATCCGGTTGGAAGTGAGAGACAGCGGCTGACACTGGTACTCTCAAGTGCTGAAGGGTGTAGAGTGGAGATTCAGAAATGAAACTGGGGTAGTTGCATAGTAAATCGGAATCCAATTTGTATCGTTCATTGATACAGTACAATTTCCATGATACAGTTCACTGTATAGGTGCTTCAATTTGGTACGCGCTGTTGGAACATCTTTCCAGGCGAAATATGTCCAAAGTTGACTCTTTCAGTTTGCTCCATATGCTATGCCCTACTACTCGGTTGACTTGAATTACCATGGCAGATCAATGGATTATCATTCTAAAAGTAACAGTGATTGGAGCACCGTCAGCTGAGACTTCTAGAGGTAAAAAGGGCAAATGACTATACGACATATCATCGCATCCTGTTACCCTTTTGTAACACCAAACCAGGCAAGACCTGTCGTGAGGGAAGACCTCAAGCCATCCTTTCTATAACAAATGTGCCAGACGAAAGCCATGCAACTCCGTCTACTGATCGTAGTAGAGCTGGAACTCGAGCCGGATGGAGAGGTCCTCTTAAGAATTACTCGGGCGAATGGACTGAGAAGGGAATCCGCCCAAACCGTTTCAGGACTAAACCTAAAGAACAAGCCCCTATACCTTCAGCGAATCGAGAGAAGAACCAAAGGTCGATATGTCGTCAGGCTTCTTCTTGAAGACACCACTCGGGACAGCCTGGTTCTCAAACATACCGCTTGAGAGAGCTATATGAGAGCCGAATGGCAGGGAACGAGTTTGACTAGAATATTAATTCAGTGATTACAATGAGAAAGTGAAAATGTCGCTCCCAGGGCACCAGATCAGTTGGAATAACCTTCACATACTGGAAGCTGTACAGATCTGCTCGAGATTGGTTTACACACTTCATTTACCTTCAAATCATTCTGAAATTCTAAATTAAGAGTACTCTTTACCTATCGCCGATACCCTGGTCCCAAAATACTCTCTTGGCAGTGTGTTGGTACAATATTACAACGATAAGTCACTCTTGTATCTGAAAGGTACTCTACTGTATTAGAGTTCCTGAGGAATATATCAATCAATCAATCAAACCAAAACACATACATACTTAATGCGATAAATTACAACTTCATATCTCAACAACCATATCTATTTAGAATAAGATATTAAGCATATATAATCTAGATAGTATTTCTAGCCTACTCGTACAGTATAGGAAGATTTCTTTAGGAATTAGCAGAGATACATGAATTTAAATCTCAAATGTCAAAATTACGCTGTATTTTATGGTAAAAGATTAAAATAATAGTCTGAAGGGCCTAAAATCTGTATATTCTCTTCCTATGCCTATATGAATGCATATTCTAAAATTTTGACTGAAATAAATACCTGGTAGTTGAAATATAGAGGAAATAATATTCAGCATTTAGTATTGTGTTTTAGGGTGGCTAGGGCGGCCGGGAATTACGTTATTAGACAATCAGTTTTGTGGTGCTGTTAACTTACTACTACAGCAACTACATTCAATCCACTACTACTATAAGAACCAGCTCTCTTCCTTTGATGTTCCTTCATCCAATTGATCTTCCTTTCTCTAATTGATCTTCCTTCATCTACTCATGGAGCCACAAACTGAGCAAGTCTTTGAGACTAGAGAGCAGTTACTTGCTTCTATCCAACAGCATGCCCTTGCTCATGGCTACGGAATCGCTACTATATCATCAAATCCAGGCCGGAATATCACGTTTGGTTGTGATAGAGGCGGTATCTACCATGATAGAATCAATGCTCCTGATGGGGCAAAACGCCGGAAAACAAGCACAAAGCGAATTGGACGCCTCTTTCGTCTCTATGCGAAGAAGCTTTATAATGGTCAATGGGAAATCCAGGTTAGAAACCCTACTCATAACCATGAACCTGATGATAATATGATAGGGCATTCTCTAGCACGACGTCGGCAATTAACCGAAGATCAAAATAATAATATTAAGCATCTATCGGATATCGGATCGAAGCCACGACAGATCATTAGCCTCCTACGAGCAGAGCAGCCTACTACCTTGATTAAACCGTGCGATCTTTATAATGTTCGCGACGAATTAAGACGAGAGAAACTTGGCAACTATACACCGCTTGAATTTCTAAGAGAGACACTTCAAAATAATCATTGGAGATATGCATTTAAGCAGGATACTGAAGGCCATGTTCTTTTCTTTATGTTTTCTCACCCTGAATCAATTAGATATGCTAATCAATATAATAGGGTCTTTCTATTAGACTGTACCTACAAGACGAATCGATATAAGATGCCTCTTTTACATATCATTGGTCTCTCACTTTCAAATTCATCTTTTAGTATTGCTTTTTGTTTTATGCAGAATGAGCAGGAAGAAAGCTATAAGTGGACTCTACAGACCTTTTTTTCATGGCTTAACCCTTTACCCTTTTCCCTAGTTCTTTGTACTGACAGAGATCTTGCTTTAGTAGGTGCAATTAAATCTATCTGTCCAAGAAGCCCACATTTACTATGCATTTGGCATATTAATAAGAACGTGCTTGCAAAGTCAAAGCAATATTTCTCTTCGAATGAGGAATTTGAGGCTTTTATGAAGTTATGGAAAGAGCTTATTAACTCATCGACTATATTTCATTATAATAATCAACTAGCTAAGTTCGAGACTAGATTTAGTCTTACTTATGCTGCTCTTCGATATGTGAAAGAAACCTGGCTAACCTATAAAGAGAGGTTTATTAGGGCTTGGGTAGGGCAATATCTCCATCTTGGTAAGAGGGCGACCTCACGAGTAGAAGGCTCTCATACTGTTGTGAAACAGTATATAGGAGCATCAACAGGTGATATGCTCTTTGTTTTTGAACGAATTAATAATGCTTTACAGGATCAACACTATACCCTTTTATCTGATCTTACAGAAGATCGGATTAAAACGCTAAATTTCTGCTCAGACTTTCTCTATTCGAATATTAAAAAGAGAACGTCACGATATTCAATATCATTGATCTCTAATCAAGCTACTATAGCTAAGAGAGCTACCCCCGAAGCACCTCTATCTAAGTGTACTAATATATTCACTAGGACAATGGGCCTTCCATGTGCCCACCGAATCGCTAGCTTATTATCAACATATCAGCCAATTCCACTAAGCGATATTCATCCATTCTGGCGAATCGGCCTTGGTAATAAGGTATCAGAGTATCTGCCAATACTTGAGCTTATATTATCACTACCACAAAGGATATCAAACCAAGACAATACATCATCGGACCAAAGGGATATCAAGAAGAAAGCGCCATCAAAGTGCTCAAATTGTGGAGAAATTGGCCATACAATTCGTTCATGCAGGGTATAATAGGATATGTAAATAATATGAATGGAACAAGAAGAAAAGGAGACTCTTATAGTAGTAGTAGTAGATAGAATATAGTTGCTGTAGTAGTAAGTAATGCAGAATAAGTAATGCAGTTGCTGCGGTAATGTATGGTAAGGATTCTTGGCGAAATTGATTAATAAGTTAGTGGTCGCTTCCTCTGTTTATTCATCAGTCTAGAGTAGCCTCGGCCCGCATGCGCTATTTGATTACGATATCGAGCAAACCAAGCCAGTACATATAATCAAGTTTGAGGCATCACGAAATTCGGTTTTTTTTAAACAAAAAAACTCCCGTTACTCTTCAGTACATTCAACTCCAACTGTTCGATCTCAAAAATGACTACTCTTCGAGCAGATGTATACGTCGCGCCGCCAATCCCTTGGTTTAAGCCGAACGGCTCTGAGGGTGGACTTTGGTCTCCTATTTCGTGCACTCTCATCCACGGAGAATCTGAGGCAGTTCTAGTGGACACCCCAATAACAACACATCAAACCGAACAATTAATCGACTGGATCAAAACTCGGATTCCAAAAAAGAAACTCAGTAAGGTATACATAACACACGGCCATGGCGATCATTTCTTCGGCATTCCGCTCCTGCAACAAGCATTCCCTGGGATCGAAGCAATTGCAACACCTGGCACTATTGCACACATGCAAGAACAGCTCGAGCCGGATGCATTCAACGAGACCTGGGTCAAACGATTTCCAGGGCAGATACCCGAGTCACAACAATTAGCCCAGCCACTAGGCAAGGATCGCGTAATTAAGCTGGAGTCGTACGTTCTTCAAGCAATTGAAGTTGGACAAGCAGATACCCATGACTCGACAATTCTCTGGGTCCCAGACATCAAGTTAGCCGTTTGTGGTGATGTCATCTATGGGGATGTCCATCAGATGCTTGCTGAATGCAGCACGCCCAAGAAGCGCAGCGAATGGATCAATAGCGTGCGCAAGGTGGAGGCTTTGAGGCCCGAAATGGTTGTGCCAGGACACAAAATGCCAAATGAAGTTGACGGCAAATTTCATCTTCAGAACACTATACGCTATATCGAGGATTTTGAGGCATTCATCGATTCTGGAATCTCTGATGCTCGGGCATTGACTGCAGCGATGCTGCAGAAGTACCCTACTCGCTTCAACGAGGGCGCATTGATTATAGGATCCATCTCAGCGTGTCGAAATTTGGCCCCCAACTTATGAGACCCTTTCTAAGCGCTAATTTTCAATGCTCTCGCCCCTGAAAAAAGTACCATCGGTAATTCTCGGCTTGCAAGTATAGCTCTCAAATTATCTCACTTCTTTCACTTGGTGATGCAGAATTCCAGTACTCCGCAGAATTTGTTCATATTGGACGTGAGGCTGAACAACGTGTTAGTGGCTGGCGCAGGGTTGGAAAGCCTAGTCAAAGCTTTCAACCAATAATTTTGCTGTCCTCTTTTGAAAGTAAATTTTTGCGGTAGCTAGCCACGACTGGTAGATAATCGTATCGCAATTAGCCTGGGGCAGAACGATCTTTAGGGACGATGTGTTCCATTGGGGGCTAGCAGTAAATATTCCTCGAAAGCTTTGTAGCCGACATGTTTCTTATCGTATCTCTACATATTCTACTGCATGAATCAAGTCAAATCTTCAGCCAGTGAGTTAGATTCTTAACTTAAACTGAACTTCAAAACCTATGGATGATATGATATGCAGACGCGCTTTCATGTTTGAGACGAGGCTGAACGAGTGCCAAAGCCACTAGATCGGGATCAAGCTTGGTGGTATCTCTCAATGGCTTGATATAAGGTGTCGAGGATAGTGGAGCAGTTACTTACAGCTGCCTCCTATTGGTTTCCTTTGTCACCAGCCTTTCTTTGTGTTTTGTATGTAATTACGGGGTTCCGAGACAACACTTACAAGTCACACATGAGTATCCCATGGGTCCTCTAAGACACGGTGGAATTGGTCCCATCCACATATCAACTATGTACCAACTCTGCAGATGTATATTTAACATACCCTCTGCCTGACAATCATTTTATCTACAATGAATCAATTCAATCTGTCAATCCTGCTGATTGGTTCCCCTTCCACTAGAATCCCCACTCATTGCAGTACTAGCCATTACTGATTTGGCTTGCTCTATCAGAAGCTCAACTAGTTGTAGTAGATAGCACGCCAGATCCTATTAGCGATGAGTCGATGACAAGGAAGAGGAGGAAGGTCATCTGAGCATCAACGATACTACGCCTTCTGATGATGAACTAACTCTTCCCCTACCTGATACTCAGCAGCGTACGTCTGGAAGGGTTCGGAAGAGGTCAAGATGGGTAGCAGATGGATATGAGTTATCATGAATGTAGTTTTTGCCTAGACCCTTCATTTTCTGAATAAATTTGCCTTTTATCTGATTATTTCCCAAAATTTAAACTTTCATGTAAAGGAAACATTTTGAACGCCTTTGAATGCCAATAGCTCAAATGACTGCCCAGAGCAATCCACGACCGATCTCTTGGCTTTCATGCGGGAAACAAGATGGCAGACAGCTCGAAAACCAGCAACACATCAATCATATCTACAATCGTCCCTTTTCCCACACGCTCGCCTTGTTCGCTGAAGCCCACAGCTGCTCAGCCTCGCTCTTGTACGGTGGAGGGACCAGGCCATTAATTTTCCACAGACCACGTGCCGTCTCATCGATGTGGTACTCCCAGTCATAGCCCTTATCCGCCAGATGTGGCTTCAATGCCGCGTCCACACGCGCCGTGATACGTGCATGCATACCGGTATCATTGTTGCTGTGCACCGCTATGTGGTCGACGGAGATGCGAATGAACGGGCGTTCCGTTTCCGGTTTGCCTCCAACGAAGCAACTCGATGTTGGGCTCAGAATGAACTGGACGGTAACGTAAAAGGCAGGTAATCCAGCTGAGGTATAAATCTTAGTGATATCATTCGCAAGTGCTTGCTTTGCGTCTTGGGTGTCGAAGGTGTTAGGTGGATGGAACACGAGCCACAATGGCATGGCGGCGAGTTAATGATCTTTGATGGAATGCACTAGGTACCGAGGAAAGGAGAATATGGATGGAAAAGACGTTATTGGTATTAATGCCTATGATATTTGTAGCGCTGCTTTGACTGACACTGCCGGAGAGCATGGACACAGAGCGGAGTTGGACCGAGGCAACTCGGGTTGGTTTACTAATCTTGTAACTAATTTGCAACCGGGTTAATGAAAAACGGTGTATTCCACAAAGGAAGATTGCTCCCATGGGCTGAAACAAACCACGAGAACTCTAGAAGAAAGTGGACGTCATGAGTCACGAAGGGTTAGTCGTGAAAGGCGCCACTGATAACCCACCCTCCGCTTTTGCTTGTCGTGTTCCACATCGTCTCGCAACGCACCGGCATGGCAATAGATAAACGCCAATGATGTCCAAACCACTTATCCTTATCACCGCAGTCAATGAAAACATTGGCTCCAGCGCCGTGTCAAAAAATCTAACGACTTCCTTTCCCGCTCGTCTCAGTGTACGGAGGAACTTGCAGAACGAGGATAGGGAATCCCGTTCTCGTCTCACCTCGACCGCCTAGAATTTGTTGCCGTTCCCGACCTAAGCAAGGCCTTCTCATTCCAGAACACCATTAATGGCGTGGAGTAAGTACATTTTCCATCTTCTATCGCCTATGCCTAGCCAGGGTTCTATCCCGATAGTCTTGATATTTCGCAGCAGTCGTCAGATGATCGGATTCTTAATTTTCTGGCCAGCTGCGACCGTCTTCGTCGTATTTTAGAGCTGGTGCACCGTCAGAGAGGCGATGTCAGCTGCTGCTGATTGCCAATTCTGGCATCTGATGAGGAATGCGTTGCCTATTGATGACTTTCGGAGCGGGATAGTATCATACAGCAGGTGCATGAAGGATTTGTGGCGTGCGAACCGACGCAGATAAGCAGACGCAAGCATCATTATTCAATTATTTTTTTCTTAACAAACCAACCCACTTTCTCCTGTAGTGATGCAAATCCCGGTCCGCAAAAGCGCCAATGGACACCGGGACAGTTCGCTCGTCAAGATGGCCCCCGATCCTTGCAGGAAACAGGGTTGGGCATGGGCCGGTGCAGAGCAAGCTAAAACAGTATTGACTAGTATGTATGCATTCCCCAGCGATTGGCAGACACCCCTATGCGGTGCTGGGAATGAGTATTCAAGCGGTGGTTTGATGCGCCTCTTGGAGAAACCAAGCTCTGCTCGGGGAAATGGAAATTGTGGTGCTCGGTGGGCGGGTTCGCGGGGTAGTAAGTATCCCACAAATCTCCCGACCACGACGACGGTATAGCTAAGGTGTTTGTCGCCACCTTGCCTCGCTAAAATCGATCAGTCGGAGAACTCGAACCGACTTCTCACAAGTGTGTTAACTAGACCTCGCCTCCAGTCTACGGTGTTACCAACGCATGAGGAAATTTGATCTCGCCGCCGCCCCCGCTCCGGCAGTCCGCCCTCCGCATATCACAGGATTTCATACATTTTCCTTGTTTGTAGAACCGCCGGTTTGAACGCACCGCCGCGGTCCGGTACGGTGCCGTTCTTCCGGTTCCATTTCGAGGTCTAGCGTTCTCCCGAGGCAGGCCGAGTCCGTGGTGACATTGATGAAGCAGCACATGCGGAATTTATAAGCAGCTTACTGAATGCCAGGATCTTTCGATTCCCTAGCTTGAAACCTTCATCAAGGGAAGCGGATACGTGAACTTTCCCAGATTATGAATGTTGGCATCACCAGCTAGGTACTGTGTACACAGTTAAGTGGACAGCGTGTATGCTCCAAAAGCAGAAAGTAAATTGATTGATGTAGATAGATGTTCTTCAGGTCATGGTCCAATGCCCCTGAATCCATACGGCGGGAGCCGCAGCTTAGCAAGATTACGTACAACATGTCTTTGCTTATTCTGACGGGAGGATATGTCCCGACAATGAATGTTGGTATCACCAGCTAGGTGCTGTGTACACAGTTAAGTGAACAGTGTTTATGCTTCCAAAACAAAAGTCAATTGATTCATATATGATAGATGTAGATGTCAAGTCAGGCCAGGTTCCAAGACACCCCTTAATCCCATGCGCCGACACTGGGCAGTCACAACACCGGAGCCGCAGCTCCGCGCAAGAATGCGTACACCAAGCAAGGGATGTCATCTCTCGGCTGACAGAAGGATATATTCCGACAATGAACTTGAAAAATCTTATATTGTTTGTATGTATGTCATAGTTTGGGAATTAATCAGAATAGCTTGGATTTATTGAGCAGTATGTGGCTAGCTATGACATCGAGGCTTTACTGAGGAGATGGCTTCTGAGAAGCCTCAGGATGATTTTGATCCAATCAGCGATAGCGAAGAAGATACGTTGTTGTCTCCTGTTTTGGGTTCCAGTGAACAACTGTGGAGAACAGCTGACCTGGTACGGGTCAATAGCAGTAACAGATGGACATTACTGGTTAAATTTTAAAGTACGGTAACAAGATAGTCGAATCTGTCTACTGTTTGCAAGAGGCGAAGAGCCCAATTAAGCCCCTTCTATCCTCAACGAATTCTAGCTAGAGCCTGACATACTTTGATCCACTCTGCATGCTAACATATGATCTTCTAGTTAGTTTGGAGTAGCAGTCTGAAGGGTATATCGTGTTTTTTTCATAAAAGCATAACAGAGGGAAGGAATCTAAATAAACTACAAAGCCCTAGCCCATTGGGCGGATCATGTTGGCCTTCTAGTGCCGTTACAATAATCGAGGCCTGGAGAGATGGTTATCTAGGGAGCGGGACTTTCGGTCAGGGTCTTGGACTCATTGGGCAACGAGGTCTTCGAGATTGATGGTTACCGCTACGACGGACTGAAGATCTGAAAGAAGGGCGATTTTACATCAGCGGCATCCCGTATATGTCCTCGCATGCTAATTCAGGATATTAGGGAATACTACCGTCGCAACACAGCTCAATAGCCCCTGCAGAGATTCCTAGGGTCTCCTTACAGTTGATGACCATCAATCAGACGCCTCTCCTCATACTGAAATATACACCCACTTGCCAGATTCCATGAGTTGAAAGAGAGGATCAGCTATATCCTGGGACAGAAAACATCAAGTGCTGGAATGCTTGACCTATTCAGCAGCTCTTGCGTGCCATTTGGATCACCGGGAATCGTCACTGCACAAGCGAGTTAAGATATGTACATTCTCGGATCAATATGCTTTGCCTTTGTTTTTAACCAAGTTGGATCCACCCCATAGGGACCCTGGATTCAGTCGGCCAGGATGAAGTTTAAGCATTTCATAATACAGCTCCTCTGGGGTATTGGTTTCTTCATGCAGCCGCTCAAAATCCTCCAAATATGCCTTGGTATCAGATATGGCCTGTGGGGTGAAACCCTTGCTGGGGTCTCCATGCCCCGAGATCACCACTTTCGGGTTTAGGCTTGCAATCTTGTCAAGTGCAGAGATCCATTCCAGTCTCGATTCCTTAGTGGGTGAATCGCCCAGGAACGGGTGGGTGTTGTTGTAGACTGCGTCGCCGACAACTGCCAAGCGTATCGAAGGGACCCAGAGCGTAGTGGTATTGTCCGTATCGGTGTGGCCGGTCCTGACCACCATGAGCTTTTCTCCCTCAAGCTCGAATTCGTTCCTAACGACAGTTCTGTCTGTGGGGATCTTCGCCGGGATCTGTCCCGGAAATAGGCGTTTCCACATCTGCTGTCGCTCTGCTGATGCTTCTCCTACCATACCAGCGGCAACCTCAGGCGCAGCCACCACTTTGGCATTAGGAAACTTGTCCAGGATAGCTGCGTTGCCGAAAAAGTGATCGCCATGCGGGTGGGTAATGTAGATCCAAGTTACATTTAATCCGCTTGCAACGGTCCAGTCCACTAGCTCGTTGATGGCCTGGACTGTCAACTGGGTATCGACCAAGACAGCATCCTTCTCGCCATATATCAAAGTCGAACTGGTCGGGACCCATTTCAAGTCATCGAGTCCAGCCGGCACAGTCCGATTCACTCCTTGACGCTTGCTGAAAAAGACTTTGTATTGAAGCACCATTATGAGTTGTTGACTTGGGAGGTTAAATGAGCTTAGAGAGCAAGTGGATCGTCCGGATGTAAAAACTCGCAATAAATGGTTTCTGCTATAGTATGCTCTGTGCGGCTAGAGTCTTATATATATCAATACCGTGTGAAACTGGAAGAGACGTCAGATTTAGTAAACAATCAGGACTGGCTGCCTCGGCTCGGCCGACCGTCCGTAACTTTTGTCTGTCGGCCTCCCGAGGCCTAAATAAATAGTAGATGGTATTTCATGACCGACAAATTTCTGATTACTCACAGGGTCCTTTCCTTTATTTATTTTTCTTGTAATCAAGTAGAGAGAGCCAACCTGTAGGCCTAGGGTACCTTGTATAGGGTATGAACGGTACCAATATTGAATATGTTGCAAACGGCAATGTACATACATCTCAATGGCCCTCATGGAGTAAGATTATTGTTTCAGTGCCAGGCTGCCCTATCAAATACGCTACTTATTACGGCCATATACAATCACACTCAGCATAAATTTGGAATATCCATGATATTGGCGTATTCTGTCTCGATTTGCTGTCCTTGACTGACAACGTGAGTCGGGCGAAGAATGTTCACGGCTGACAAGGAAGTCACATATTCCGTAGTCGGAATGGTTGCACTCTCATTTCTAAATGCGGGAACTGGAACTAACACAAGTATACCTCGCTCATTAATCTTATATTCCTAGCTTATCATTATACACACTCACATAATGTCAGATCAACGCGGAGAGGAATGGATTGAAGGTGCTAGTACGGCGAACGCTGAACTTCAGTTGTCTCCAGCTCAAGTAGTGGCAACATGTTTCTTTAAGAATTCAAGTTGCTTCGCGATATTCTTTTCAAACCACTCCCCAGTATAGATATCGAAATGACCGGCTCCATCAAGATACAGCATCTCCTTGGGTTCTCGTGCTTTGCCAAATGCAGCCAGCTGAGACGCTGTGGTCACAAGGATGTCATTCCCTGGAATGACCATAAGCAGTGGAGTTGGCGAGATGCGTTGTATCATTGCTTGCCCTTCAAACGCAAGCATGTGAACCTGTGTCTGAGCCGTGATATCATTATTCCATCGTCCACCACTGGTGTATGAACCTAGCATCTCCTTATAAGCATGGACCCCGGGAAACATGACGTTGGCCTTCCCTTCTTCGGCATCTTTAATGCTGTCAGCAATCAAAGGAATCCTTTCCGGTTTAGCGCCCGCTGCAATACGTGCACGCTCTTCCAAGAGGATAGGGATGCGATCTTTGAATGCTAATGATCGTGTCTCGCCAGACACTGCGGGACACTGCACTATAGCAGCCCTGATACGTCTGTCCAGAGCGGCGGCGTACAGAACATTTCCCCCGAAAAGCTTGAGCCCCAGTACACGATGCGCGAGCTATCCACACACGGTAATGTTGATGCAAAATTAAACGCGTCATAATAGTCGGCTTGTTGAAGGGGCGGGTTAGATTCTTGACGCGGCAACCCATCACTATCCCCCCAGTTGCGGTTGTCATAGAGCAGGACTGCGTAGCCAGCCCTGTGAAAGCGATCCGCAAAAGCTGGGAGCCAGTAGTGGCGGACGCCACCCAACTAGGGAGACCAGACGAACAGTTAATTCCATGAACTTTTCAATAAAACAGGAGGCATTTAGAATCACGAACCCCGTGTGTCATGATCACGCATGGTGACTTTCCAGCTTGTGGATAGAGCCAACCGCGAAGCACAGTGCCATCACAGGCTTTGAACTCGATATCTTCACGAGGGATGGCCATTTTGGTGGATATGTGCAAATTGCGCCGGATAATAGTCGAAAGACGCAGGGCAGCGGTCATTTGACTCGATCTCAATGTTGAAAGCTTGTGAGGATGGGACCGCAACGTCTAAAGGGCGGTAATCCTTCCACGAAAGTATAAATACTGGGTGACGTGTTGTGTTACAAAGCACACGCTATTTGATTTCCCTCGGTGCAAGTGTTAATGTATAATGAACATTTCCATTCGTTTTCTTTTTTTGCTCGTGGATATTTTTTTTGGTCTTTAGCTTCTACCTACTTTTTCCTGAATTAATTAGGGTAAATACTCACGGGATTCACGGGATTCACGGGATGATTACAATCAGTAATACGGCCTCGGTACGGAGTTTTCGGGTGGCGTCAGAACTTTTTGAATGATCACATTTAATAATACAGCCTCGGTGCGATGTTCTCGGGTGGCCCTCATCCGGATATCCCTGACATTCAGGAGGATCACTTTCCGATTAAAAACAATTGGGATATGTATCAGACCTCCTGACTCAATTTTGCGAATGTCCTTATTATTGAAGTATGCCGCGATTGTAGCTATTATAATCAGAGTTGGGCCTATGGAGTGGAAATAGTTCTTCGCCGCGGCGGGGCATTCAGCGCAGGCTATGCACCCTGGAGATTATGTACACATGCTCTCACAGTATGTCCTTGGGTATATATATTACATCATATCATACATTAAAAGGATTCTTCAAGAAACACTTGAGTCCTGACGGGAGCCCAGCTACTCCCATACGGAGAGCACTATGCCGGTATTTATTCCGTGTTCCTATCGCTCTATGACTGCAAGAAGAATACTATCAGGTATCGCGAGAAAGGATCATATCGACTTCATGAACAGGATGATATCCTCTAGAATATGGCTAGCGTGAGTGATGATAAGAACTAAAGAGATATATATGTTAGTATTCTTCCACTGTATCTAGTATATTGTAAGAATGGGTAATACTTACTATGGCTTGCATTCTGGTACACCTTGAGCTTCGACCGTGGAAGTATCTGTGCTACACGCCTCGCGGTCACTTCCACAGGAGTTCCAGCATCCGAGTCACCGTGTAGAAGTAGGACAGGGAGCTCCGACTCCCGATTTAGTGTAGCCAAATTCTCACTAAAGTCATAACCACTGAAGAGCCGCACAGATCGTTCAATTGCAAGAGCATCAGCCGCGTCGGCCATACGCTCAATGCGCCCCATTAGCTTGTCAGGCACTTCATTATCGCCAACGCCCAGCGGCCCTTTAAATGCCTCTGACATGAAACCCGCCCGGTCCTCACGAATCTTGTCGATCACCTGGTCCCATGCCTCTTTCGGCGTGCCTTGGGGGAACTCTGGCGTAGCAGTTGGATAGGGAAGGGATGTATTCACCCAAACGAAACCCTTACCAGAAATGAAAAATGAGGATTAGCGGAAGGTGTATGTAACCGAATGCGCCAGGTAGTGTGTCAACATACCTGGCAATTCTGATGGACGTAATTGCTTGACATATACGCCAGCAACGACTCGCCACCTCCCATGCTGGCTGCAATGAAAACAAATTTGCCGACTTCCAGTTTCTCAAGAAGGTCGACAATATCATTGGCAAGTACGTGATAGTCGATCTCGGTGCGCTCTGGCCGCACACCATTCCACTCGCTCCTGCCGAAGCCCCGTCTATCCGGGGCAATACAGCGAAATCTATAACTCTCGCTTAAGTGTATCATCAGCGGTTCCCACATTGAGGAGGACAAGGGCCACTGGTGTAAGAAAACCAGGGCTGGGTGGCTCTCGTTGGAAGATTCAGCCCTCACATTGTGCGGTTCAGGAATTAAAGAAGGGATGTAGTCCTTGTAGAACAAGGCTGCACCATCAAAGGAACTTTCGAAACGAGGCATATTTAGACAGTAGTTGCTGATCGCAAAGTTATAAACACAGGTCGGGAATACATTATGGTATTTAAATTGAACTTTATACCTATTCTGCTACCTAAATCCCATTATAGGATCGGCATACTGAAAAGGTCTGTGCTGTATCACTGGGTCGTTGGATGATGGTATTCCGAAGACGTCTAATAAAAATTGCGCCGAGGTGCCAAGAAACATGGTTTTGCCATTGCCTCCGCCTCGGACAAAATTAATTTCTTTGATTAGAAGACCTGGTTTTCCAGTGCAATGGCGAATTTTAAACTATTGGAACGCCGTTAGGGGGAACCGCTGGAGTTGCCAAATAGAGAGATACAAAGATGGTTACGCGTGGCGAACAGCCCTCGGCCATGATTACTTCAGGCGCCGCGGTCAGGTTTGCCGAGTCTTGGGCATCCAATGACCAACACATAGCCAGCCGCCACTCATTCCGTGAAGATGCCGATACTTGATTACAACAAAAAAATGGTGGGATCCGGGGCCCCGCTGACCCCAAAGGCACTAATGGTCCTATTTTATTAGACTTTTCTACAGCCATATATATTAACCTGCCGGTATCAATTCACCATTCAGATTTTCATGCAAGGTTAAGTGTTAAAGCCATTTGATTTACCTAGAAGGCAACCGCCCTATCTGCTAGAATGGCCCCATCAAGAGCTCGGGATATCGAGAATAAGCCTGCACCAGGCATCTCCTACTTTACTCCTGCTCAGGAAACCCCCGCAGGCACAGCGATAAATCCCCAGTCCAACGGTTGTGCACCTCCAGGGCTCTTCCAGCCTATGAAAGTACGCAACCTCAGATTCCCAAATCGAATCGCTGTGAGTTCATATTTATGCTTCCTCCGTTTCGCATGTCTGGTGGGAGAAACTAACTTTCCCGCACTCTAGCTGTCTCCCCTTTGTCAATATTCCGCCGACGATGGCCATATGACTGACTGGCACCTGGCCCATCTGGGTGGTATTGCTCAACGTGGTGCAGGCTTTCTGATGGTTGAAGCCACAGCTGTCGCACCAGAGGGCCGTATTAGCCCGCAAGACCATGGACTGTGGAAGGACTCCCAAATTGAACCGCTAAAACGTGTGATCGAGTTTGTCCACAGTCAGGGCCAGCTGGTTGGGGTACAAATCGCCCATGCTGGACGAAAGGCTAGTACTTTAGCACCTTGGCTTGGGACTGTGGATCCAGCGACGGCAAAGGAAGGCTGGCCAAACGAAGATATAGCGACCGAAAAAGTGGGGGGCTGGCCCGATAATGTGGCAGGGCCAACTAACGAGCCCTTGTCGGACCGACATGTCATCCCTAAAGAAATGACCAAGCAGGATATTGAAGATTTTAAAGTGGCCTGGGTGGCGGCCGTCAAGCGTGCCGTCAAGGCTGGGGCCGATTTCATAGAGATCCACAATGCCCACGGCTATCTCCTGTCATCCTTCCTCTCTCCAGCGGTCAACACACGTACGGACGAATATGGTGGCACCTGGGAGAATCGAGTCCGCCTATCCCTTGAAATCGCCAGGCTCACACGCGAAGCCGTTCCTAAGGATATGCCCATTTTCCTTCGTGTATCTGCCACAGACTGGCTTGAGGAATCCTTGCCGAATCAGCAGAGCTGGCGTGTGGAAGATACTGTTCGATTCGCCCAAGTCATTGCCGAGAGTGGTGATATTGATGTCATAGATGTGAGCAGCGGTGGCAACCACAAGGCGCAGCACATTCACGCCCGTCCGGGATTCCAGGCTCCATTCGCCGTGGCCATCAAGAAGGCTGTTGGAGATCGGCTGATTGTGGGAACTGTGGGCATGATTAGCTCAGCCGAGCTTGCAAATACTCTCATTGAAAAGGATGGGCTGGACTTTGTTATGGTCGGGCGTGGATTCCTAAAGAACCCTGGATTGGTTTGGTCGTGGGCAGAAGAGCTTGGTGTAGAGATAGCCATGGCAAGCCAAATCCGCTGGGGGTTTACCGGCCGGCGAGTCACGAAGGCCCATGTAAACTAATAGCTACAGAGGCCCGTGTGGTTTACCACTGTTCTTTTCTGCCTCTGCTTAGAGAAGATTTTAGATATGAATTTTAAATTTGAGTTTCAGCGCGAAGAAATAATAATGCAGGTCCCTAACCCTGGCTACGTGCTCCCCGATGATTGTGGACGTGTTAAACTGGAATATCAGATGTACTGTACGATGAATTTAGATCAAAACATAATATATATTGTGAAGGGAAATTCTCGATGGCAGCCTGACTAACTAGGCGGATCGAAACAGGAGAAAATTGCACACATTTGCACTTAGTAGTGCTCTGTAGCGCTAGGAAGCGCAGGAACGATATATAACCCACGAATGAACTGAAAGGAGTGTGTAGTTCACTATGTGGTACTGTATCTGTGTGTCTGATATGGAAACGAAGGGTATGGAGCTGACGAATAGCTTTGGTGCCTTAGAAAACAGCAAGTAACATCAATCCTGAACAGGAAAGAGGTGCTGATCTGTAGCAAGTTGCTTAACAAAAGTCTCGCTGAAGTCGTTCGGATTGTCCAGTTCGGCAGTTCTCTTTTTCATTGCGTGCTTTCCTACTGCAGTATCATTTCTTTTGTATGGATGTAACGGTGTCCAGCGGTAAATAAATCTACTAGTCGTAGTAGAAGACCGATCGATCAGATAGAGTAAAGGGAACGAGGGCGAAGCGACCACGAATAGATCTCGGTTGGAATAGAGACTGATCTTTGAAGGAAATTAGATGCAATATGGGTGCGATCCTTTTAGCCCTATCGTCTGCTGAGGTTCGGTGTCATATCTGTAGGACTTCGGGGTCTGGTCTATCACGTAAGGTTGAATATATTACGTGCCAGGAAGAAGATCCAATCAACTTGTGCATTTTAAGGAAAGTATCAAGACTAGAGAGAGAAAGGGAGAAGAGGAACTATCTACTCAGGGGTTTCCGGTTAAAACCTCTTCCTCTCCCAATTTGGTTAGTACGCCCATGCATGTAGTGTCAACCATCCTGGGTACTGATGGCTTAATCGTCACACAATATACAAATCCTTCATACTAATTCATATGCCTGTCTCCCAATTCAATAGCACTACGCCTAATCCATAGCTATTTTCTTCATATTCTATAAATTAGTACTATTAATATAGGCCATTAGAACCTGGCGTATGTTGTTCCTTCTATCCAGTCATCTAATCCCGCTCAACGTGTTCACAGCATATTGAACCATCACGATCAAACATAGGTAGGAAGGTTGTAATGTATCTATAGAAATGTAGTTTCCATTGGCACCAGGCATAACATGTATATGGTAGGGGCCGGAGATCGGGCACGTGAGAACATCAAAAATCAGCACCTATCGAAAACACGTAATTTTTACGCGTCAATCGATTCAGTGAGGCCTTTCGGCCACTTTAAACCACCATGGAGGTTCTAGAACCACGTGGTGGTGCTGGGATGCACGCGTCGCTCCTTGATCCCCCCAACCGCCGCTCCTCACTGTGCGGCGGGCTCGAAACTCCAACGCCAAATCGCTGGCTTCCTGATACAGTCTCAGCACCTTTGATTGATCTGAGCCAGCCTTTGGCCGAATCTGCACGTGAAACGACCCATCATAGGGCCTTCGAGGCCCGAAATGTCAAACGAAAGGCGTCCCGGGTGCTGGGACGCGCAACTCTGGACACGGATATCGTGGATACGAGCATAGCGTTTGCAGGCCTGTTAGCGCAAGTACAAACGGCTTATCAAGACCGTCTGGAACTGATCCAGACACAGCTGACGGAAGAGCTAGAGAGCTGGAAGGCCGAGCAGCAGGCCCGGGAAGACCTGCTCAAAGAACGGATCGCCACGCTGGAAAGCGACGTCACCCGGCTTCGGGGTGAATTAGATCAGGTTCGAAATGCGACGCCCGAACAGACTGCAGCACCACAGCCCACTCAGTGTAGGGCAACGGTGCCAAAGACACTCCGCACAAGCGATCAAGACCATCTCCGAGCCCGCGCCCAAGACTACATGCCAGGCCCTAAGCCCGTGTCTCGTCACAACCAACCGTCATCGAGCTTCGCGGACATCGCCCCACTGCTAGCCACCAAGCCTGGAGGGCACGGATGGCAAGAAGTCGTACACAAGAAAAAACGACCAAATCGAACAGACTCAAGCAAGCAAGCTCATCCTAGTGCGCTTACGCCCACGAGAAACGCCCCGAAAGAAGCCAGACGAATGGTCTTCCGACGCGAGCAGGCCCAAACGGCCCCCCGCGTGGACAAAGAGGACATCATCCTTGCGGTCAACCGCGGACTCGCCCAAGCCGATTTCCCGGGCTTTGTCCGCGCAATTGACGCGGGGTACAGCAGCACTGGTGCGGTCACCGTGTTCTTAGAGAAGGGGGCTCTAGGGTCTATGTTAGTACCCGTCCACTGGGACCTGGTGGTTGCCGCAGCACGACAGGCAGACCCAGCAATCATTTCTGCCGAGCTGCCTGAGCAATGGTACCGAGTCAAGATACACGGAGTTCCAACTCGTCGCTACCTAAGCTGTGGGCTGGGCCTTGCCAGGGAGGAAATCGAACTGGGAACCTGGATCCGACTGAAGAGAGACCTTACATGGCTTCGGCGACACAGGGAGATCCAGGATGGTACCAGGAAATGTCCACCATCGTCGTCACGGTAGGGTCCCTCGAGGAGGCCCGGGAGCTTCTAGTCCATGGGATTCGGTTTGGAGGAGCCCGGTTTAAGACGGAACATTACTGGGAAGTGGGGGTGGATACGGTCTGCCCTCGATGCTGCCATCTAGGCCATCGCAGCTTAAAAGCCTGCGGAAGCAACCCACCATGCTGCTTCATCTGTGCAGGCCCACATGAAGGACACGAGCACACTTGTCGCGTACTGGACTTCTCGGCCAAGGCAGGCACCGCCTGCCGACATACGCCCGCGAAATGCCGCAACTGTGGAGGGCCGCACTCCGCCACGGCCAGGAACTGCCTAGCGAGGCGCGCAGCTCGAAAGCAACAACAGGACGGCAGGGAAGCTCATCGAAACCGTTCGGCGCCGTTGGCCCCGAACCGCCCAGGATCACCCGCGATCGATTTGCATCGGCCTACCACTGGAGTGCGTAACAGCGTAGCCTCGGAGAATTCGGCTCCGATGAATTGGCAAACCCCCGCAAATCAACAGCCAAGACCAGAGGAAACGATGGACCTCAGCGAGGACGTTGTCTCGGAAGGGACCAACGCGACGGTGGATGACCAATCCGATCAATAATGCGTATCCTACAACACAACTGCCGCAAGACCTATGCAATTACGATTGCGGCACTCGAGGCCGGGCTACAGCTAGGGGCGGGCCTATGCTGGCAGGGGAACATCGAGGAACGCAGGAGAGCGATAGAGGATGTGCATTGGGACAGTGTTCTGGAGGGTAGATGTTTACTCCTCGGCGACTTTAACGCACATAGTCCGCTATGGAACCCGCAAGCGAACCGTCGTACGAACGCGGTGCCACTGGAGAGCCTGATCGAGAGCGAAAGTCTCTATATCAACAACAAGCTGGGGATCCCAACGCGGCCAAAGACGACGCCGGGAATCTCAATCATCGACCTCAGCTTAACAACAGTGGATATGGGCCCCTTGCTGGCGTGGACGGTGGATGGGGACCACGCAACCGGGTCAGACCACGAGCTGCTGGTGATGAAATGGGTGCCAATAGAGAACGGATGGGAACCCCCATCGAGCGAGGTGACGGGGTGGCAGATCCAGGCTCTCCAGGCAGACAGCCAAACTCTGGAGAACGCGAAACAGATGTGGCAAGCAAACGCCGAACAGAGAGGGCTCCTGGATGACGCATGTTCGGTGGCGGAGGTCGAGGGAGAGGCAGTATGGGTACAGGAAAAGCTCACGGCAGTGCTCGACCAGTATGCGAAGCCAGTGCGAGTGACCCCGCGGTCCAAACGCTGGTGGAATCGAGACGTCAAGGGGGCTCGCGGGGCCTACTGCCAGGCGAGAAGAGCGTGGCAGGGGCAGCACATCACCACGACTGACCTTCGAGAAGCACGGAACGACTACTATCGGACTATTCGAAAGGCGAAACGAACGTGTTGGGAAACATTTCTAGCAGGGCCGACGGACATCCCAGATCACTCGCGCGAGGAAACAGCCCGGTGCTGGGTAGAGCTTAGGCTCACCAAGCCCAAAACAACAGCCGTTACGCCCACACTCAAAGGGCCGCAAGGAGAGATAGCCGTGTCCATCAGCGAGAGAGGCACTGGTCCGAAAAGTCGCCTTCCCACCAGCGCCAGGTGACCGGGAGGCTGTCGAAGTTCTCCCAGGAACTTGGCACAAGTGCATAGACGAAGCAACGGTCAAAAGAGCTCTGTTCCATCAGGCGGTTCAAAAGGCGCCTGGAATCGACAGGCTAAACTTCCGGGCCCTTCGACTCGTGTGGGAATGGGATAGTCCACGGATCGTAGCGCTGGCCCGGCAGTACTTCCGGCTAGGCATTCACCCACAAGCATGGAAAACCGCCAAGGGAGTCTTGCTGAGAAAACTTGACAAGCCGGACCATACGCTCGTCAAGGCGTATCGGGTCATCAGCCTACTAAACTGCCTCGGAAAGGTGGTGGAAAAGATCGCGGCAGAGGCTATTGCAGACCACTGTGAGGCAACGGGAAGTCTTCACCCCGGACAGATGGGTGGCCGCAAACAACACAGCGCGGTGGATGCCGTGGCGTGCCTGATCCAGAGCACCCACGACGCATGGAAACAAAAGCAGCTCATGGCAGCTCTTTTCATGGATGTGGCGGGCGCGTTTGACCATGTCAACGACCGAAGGCTCGTGATTCGCATGCTAGAGCTTGGTTTCGACGGTGATTTGATCCGATGGGTACAGTCGTTCCTGAGCGACCGACTTGTCCAACTCGTCATCGACAACACACAGTGCGCAGCTCACACGATCAACTCGGATGTGCCTCAGGGATCCCCGGTGTCTCCAATCCTGTTCCTTATCTACCTGACTGGGATGTTTGACGTAATTGAAAGAGCCGTCCCGGGCGTGCGGCTGCTATCGTTTGCAGACGATGTGGGCTTTCTAGCGCCGGGTTACTCGGTCCAGGAAGCATGTCAGAAATTACAGGAAGCAGCCCGGGTCGCTATCGACTGGGGTGAGAGCAACCTCGTTCAGTTCGAGGCAAAGAAAACAGAGGCGGTCCTATTCACCCGCAAGCGTGGACAAAAACTTCGAAGTCAAATTCAGCGGGCCCGCATCATAGTAGGAAGCCATTCAGTCTCATTTAATCCCGAGGCCACAAGGTGGCTCGGGATCTGGCTAGACACCGGCCTCACGCTGAAGGTGCATTACCAAACACGCCTCCGCAAGGCCCGGAATGCAGAATCTCGAGTGCGATCCTTGTGCCGCATCCAAGGCCTGGCGCCAGGTCTGGTCCATCGGATCCAGGTGGCCGCGGTACAGTCAGTGGCCTTGTATGGAGCGGAACTCTGGTGGCGCGGTCAAAAGGACCGGCTCACGGGGATGCAGCGGATGATGAACCGACAAGCCCGTGCGATTACGGGGATGCTAAAGACCACCCCAATGGGTCTCTTGAATAGGGAAGCGGGCCTGACTCCGGCCGTGGTCCTCTTGGAAGGCCGTCAGCTGCGGTACACAACTCGGCTTCTTGGCCTACCGGACGACAGTCCAGCAAGATCAACCCTTCCGGTCAGCTTTCGGGAGGGCGACCAACATGCGCAACCCGGGGAGCATACCCCTGGAAACCGACTCTGGGCTGAACCGCACGGCCGGGGACCATGGTCATTAGGACAGCACCTAGCTCGACAACTAGCCAACATCCTACCAGCCGATCCCTCTGCGGGCTTTGAAGGCGCTCGGCGCGGCGATAGCAGCGGATTTCCAGGGCGGATCGTCGCCCAAAGGACCGAGGACGCTCTCACTGCGGCGCGGACAATGCAACCAGGCCACGCGATCTGGTCAGATGGGTCAAGACTCGAAAATGGCCGAAGCGGAGCCGGGATCGCCTGGCAGGAGACTTCCGAAGAGTGGAGGACCCGGAGCTTCCCCCTTGGAAAGGGACAAGATGTCTTTGATGCAGAGCTTGTAGGAGCCGTGCAGGCCCTCCAGGCCGCACTGAGAATGGATGGCAGTGGCCCGATCACAGTTCTACTAGATTCCCAAGCCGCGATTGCAAGGCTGCGACACACGCAAGCAGGCCCCGGTCAGGGACTGACACTTCGAGCTCATGCAGTAGCCAGGGCTCTACAGGAGCGAGGCCGAGAACCCATCATTCAATGGGTGCCTGGCCATTGTGGTGTGGAATGGAATGAAAAAGCTGATGAGGCGGCAAAGCTCGCGGCCAGTCGACCGGGGTGCCATCCAGAAGGAGTCGCAGGACTCTCACTGGCGTTTGTCAACCGGACCTGCACGGAGAACATCCGAGATCGCAAACACGTCTGGCTTGCCCAGACACTAGCAAAACGCTCTTGCAACAGGCAGCGAGCCCACCGACCCGATCGAGGCTGGACAATGGACCCAATCGCATCGCGAGCCGTGAAACCACTGGCCACCCGTTTCTTCCAGTTGAAGAGTGGACATGCAGCCATCGGAGCTCACCTCAACCGGATTCATGCTCGGGAAAGCCCCGCATGCGACAAAGGTGATGCACCGACAGAGACCGTGCATCACGCTCTCTTCGAGTGTCGGGCATGGCAGCACCAGCGGGTCCAGCTCTACCGAGCGCTGGATCGAGCTGGGGTGGCCAGACCGTCCGCGGCGGAAGAATGCCCAGAAGGCAGACTGTTGGGGGAGCCGAAGGCAACAGCGGCTATCTTGCAATTTCTGTCGACAACGAAGGTAGCCCTGCCCCGGTACCATCACCAGGCCTTGGCAGAGAGAGCTCGACGAGATGATGAACGGGGATTAGAGGACTTGGAGGCCGAGAGGACGGGGGAAGGATAGCAGGAAGGGTAGCCTAGGCCCTCAGCTTCGGGAACACCCGAACCGCGTGAGACACCGAGGAGAGCCAGTTATAGCTCAAATGCCCTGCGCATATAGGCGACTTGGGGCGAGGAAAAGGACTTGGACAGTATTTAGACGGGGCTCACGCCCAGGAACTCATAGGCGCAGAGGTCTGAAAGCAGCTTGACCAAGCAGCCGCAGTCCCTGCCTCAGACTCGCGGTCTGTCATAGCTTTAGAGCTCGATATAGACAATAAACCTGATTAATAATAATAATAATAATATATGGTAGTGGGGAATCCGGTGATTGGTGACGACATACGCAATAACTGGATTGGCCATAGGGACGATTCTCATTTTTCAGAGATATGCTGAGACCTGTCGATTGAGCACGTTTCTACCGGTTGGTGTCTGTTTCCTTTCCTAGACTATAGCGGTATCCTCGTTTCTCAGGCGACAGCTTCGATTTGGCTATTCCTGGCTCCCTGCTATTTAGCAACTTCCACTGGCCACTCCATACACCTTAGCTCATGCGTGTGGATTGTGGCATTCTTCTCCTGTCTCGACCTGTCTATTCTGATCAGACTGCCTATAGCGTTCACCCCTCTTCAACATATAAATTGGAAACGAAGTTTGACAACTAGATTCCTAACGAGCACGCTGAAGAGCTATTACACAGCCATCATTCAGATATTCCAAGAGACAGGACGGTAACAAAAACAATATAGTATCAGTCTTGCGAATTGAATGGCAAAGTAGTCTATAAAACCAATGCAAGAGGTTAAGTGGTAAGAACAGTGATATGCACTACCAAAATTAACTTCACGCTTCATCTATCTGATTCGATCTTGCTTTCATATGGCTCAGTTTTTGATTTCAGAACTTTCATCCCCCGGTGTAACTTTCTTGGGCTTCTGTTTGTCAGAAGACCCTGAAAGCACGCGTCCACTAACAAAATCATCCGGCATAAGGGGGATCTTCATTTCAAACACATTGTCGATGGCAGTATACTGGTGATACCCCAGCCGAGCCAGAGGGGCGGCTTTTAACACATCAAAAAGCTACAAAATAGATCAGTACGAAGAACGATCCAGAATGAGGATGTGACTCTCTTACCCCATCAGGCGTGATATACTCGCCCTTAATATGAATACCCACCACTCGACCAATGACAATATCCGAATGACCAACAAGGGAGTCGCCCTGAATTCGGACAACAGAGTGGACTTTACACTCAAAGCTCACAGGTGATTCCGCTACTCGAGGAGGTTTGACCAAGCGGCTAGGAGCTTTAGTTACGCCGGAGATGGGGAATTCATCTCCCCAAGATTCGAGCGCCGATTGATTGACATTTTCACGGAGGGCATATCTGTATGATTTTGTCAGCACTTCCATTTATGATTAGATACGACTAGAGCGGGCTGAGTGTATCATACGTTGGCATATTCCACACAAACTCCCCTGTCTCTTGCGCATTAACCACAGAGTCCTTGCTCCGGCCTTTGTATACAGACTGATGGCCAACAAACAAGATGGTAGGTGGGTCGAATGAAACATTAGTGAACTGGCTGTAAGGCCCTAAGTTGTCTTGGCCATCCTTGCTGGTTGTGCTGATCCATCCAATTGGACGGGGGATGACGAAGCTCTTGAAAGGGTCATGCGGTAGGCCGGATGTTTCGCCCTTCGGAGGTTCGTAAAAGATGTCGGAATAAGTCATGATGAATTCTAAGGAAATAGAAGAGAACGCTGATCTTTGTGGATCTGCTCGAGAATCTTAGGAGTAAATGGTCTACGTGCAGCAGATTTATTCCTGCTATAAATACTCCGTTATTCCTTGCTCTAAACTGTGTAAGGGGCGAGTAACGACTAAACTTGACTTCATTGTTTCTAACATGCTCGGCACCATCCTCGGAGGACGAATAATTCTTTACTCATCGGCCGCGTCTATGGATGTGATACGCCACGGCATTGATTATTTTGGGTTGGTGGCGATTGACCTCGCGGCCGAGGTAGACTTCGCCTGGCCCTCAACGGCGGGTGGGGCCGTGAAGCCCGCCCACGGTTGACCCAAATACAGTCATATATACAGGAGTACGAAGACTCGAAGAGTGATATGTGGAAGCTATATTATAACAATAATTATACACGTAATTTACGTACTACTGGGCCGTTAGTGGAAGGTGGGGTGCCCATAGTGGCCCAAAAAGGCGAAATGACAAATACTAGGCGAGGCCGAGGCTGACAACCCATGCAGGTAGTTAAGCCGCCCTACGCGACATAAACGAAAAATTAGATCCGTTCCTCGGCTTGAAGAATGATAGCGGACAACACTAGTGATAGAAAGGAGACGTTCTTGATTCCATCTAGTCCGCAAACATGTTCCTAGATTTCTTTTATTGAAAGTAAAATAAAATTGTAATTTCTCCTGTTGTGGTGCGCAGTTAGAAGAAACTGGGGCAGTCTAACCGACGGGCGATCGATGTAAATATATTGGCTAGCAATTTCGGATGCCCTAACGCCATCCCTACTTAGAATCGGATGTTGACATATATGTTCTGCGAGGCACCGAGGTTCTATGACTAAATGCCTAAATCTCATTCAGTGTAAGAAAGACAAGGGCATAAATACCTAAGATGTTAAATTCATTATCCACCCACGACCAGCGATATTACTCTTGTGTCTAAGCTTAACACTACAATCTTCCCTTGCCTTGCTCTCGGTTTCGTGTTCCCTTTAGTCCGACCTTGGTCCCAACAGAAGCATCATGTCCTTTCCCGTGTTCCGACATAACGGCCCCTGGAACGAAACAAGCAGACAAGATCGCGGGCTTCGTTTCGTAGAGTCCTACGCCACGGAAATCACCTCAGACCTTACCTTGCCTTACTCGCCCACCAAATACTTCTCGCCTTCCTGCACTTTCTACGATGCCACCGATGTGACCTACAATGGGGCGGACGATATTAAGTCGTGGATGCAACGCTTGTTTTCTCCATTCGACAAACTCGAGTTCGCTCTTATTGGCTGCTTTTCGGTCAACGAGTCTGACCTGAATGACAAGAAGCCAAAGTACACAGTTGTCGCGGAATTCCTTGGGAAACACTGGTTCAAGGGTGACCCAGAGCCGATTTTGGCCCCGAGACTGATGATTTTCAACATCGATGTTAGTGAAACGGAGGATGGGTTCGACGGCCTTCAATACTCAAGTGTCCGGTTATACTGGAACATATCGCTTGTTAAGGATGAGAGAGCGAGAAGAGCCCTTGCTAAGGACAAGGCATGAACGGAGAATCAGTCAACGCTTTGGGTTCTGCTGTCGTTGAAAGAGCTGGTTCGAATACAGCGACTGGTCATATTACTTCAAAATCACATAGTAAATGCACGATACAGTAATAAGACAGCTACAATATCATAGTTTAGTTTTACTATATTCCCAGTATGCTGATGTTTCTTAGTATACTATATATATATATATGGATATGAACTTCATTAAATTATTATTTGATTATGTTCCCGAAAGATACACGGCATAAAGTGATGACAGATCTGTTACAGCTCAGTTACGAAGAGACAGACATTAACCAACGTAGTAGCATTCAACGAAGCAACTAAGCATGAGGAAAGAAGAGGACGCGAGGGAACGCGAGGTCTAAATACACGCTGGATGCCTGCGGTGCCAGGCATCTAATCAGGCATCAGGCATCCACACACACGAATCGTCACAAGATCTAGCTAATATTATACTCGCTAGTACTAAGGATATCGACTAGAATCAGCTGATTAGGCAATCTAGCCGATAATTAGCAGAAAGGAGACGAAAGAGTAGTAAGAGGAGCACTGTTCGTGCTAGGACCTGTGTGGCCGATACTCTGAAATAACAACACCGTTCATGCCGGCGAATGCAAGTTTACCTCGCAAATCACAAAGCAGGCATTGGCCACGACTAATTCCTGCAGCAACACGAGCCGTGGACCCGAGCGAGCGCGATTCACAGTTGTCAACCCCCAGAAACGTCAGCTAATAGCGCTGCGAGACCTTAGTCACAAGTTCCTCCATTAACTAATCGGTACTTTTACTGCACAGTCGAAGCCCTAACAAAACAAGGAGCACAGCCGGCCACATAAGGCATTTATGTCGCGGATATTCGCCGGAGGTGACCACCTCGGCTGAGGCCGGGCCACGAGAATAGGACTTTCGGGCGGGAAGGGAGAGTCGAGGCGGGCCCTGTCTCTCCGAGTGTCCGATGGCTGCACTGCTGAGAGACACTTCGATTGATTCTAAGGCTTAGAACAGTGGATAGCTTCCTCGTAATTACGTATATTATTGCTCGCCGGACTTACCGCAAGCCGATACAGGATCCGTGGTATTGTGGGAAGTTTCTACTTAGAATCGATGTGGCATACACGGCAATGACATTGGCAGAGTACTGGAGTATACTTATAGATGCTAGTATCCCAAAAGGTTCCTAAAGTCTATATTTATATTTAGATTGTATTATGCGGAATAAAACATCATTCAACCCTCGTTTCTCCCGTTCCAGATAAATAATAGTCCTGATATGGCTCCCTCGATCAACGATGTTCCTATCAGCCAGTCTGTCTCGACCTTGGCCTGCCAGGTCGGTATCAATGGCTTCGGTCATATTGGTTAGTAACTTAGTGGTTATATAGTACATTGAAATGCATTTTTGCTAACCTAGACTTACACAAATCATATTTCTTAAGCTACAATGTTCTCCGTGCTGCCCTAGTCCGCTCTGATATCCAAGTCGTCACCATGAACCCCACCTGCGTTACCGCTAGGGAGGTCGTCTATCTTATACGCTATGTGTTGGTATCACCAGCTAGGTACTGTGTACACAGTTAAGTAGACAGCGTGTATGCTCGTAAAGCGAAAGTCAATTGATTCACGTAGATAGATGTGCATGTCAAGTCAGGTCAGGTTCCAAGATACCCCTTAATCCCATGCGCCGACACTGGGCAGTCACAACGCCAGAGCCGCAGCTCCGCGCAAGAATGCGTACACCAAGCAAGGGATGTTATCCCTCGCCTGAAGGAAGGCTACACCCCGACACTATGACTCCTTCATGGGAGACCTCGATAACCGGACCGATATCCAAATTATGTCTGATAGCCTCATCACTATTGATGGCAGAAGAATAGCTCTCACCTCTGAGCGTGACTTGAAGTAGCTCAATTAGGCCGCCCCGGGTGTCGACTACGTCCTCGAGTGCACTGGCAAATTCGCAAAGCGAGACCTCGCTATGGATCATTTCACTTATGGTCAAGCTAAGCGGGTGCTTATCTCCGCTTCTAGCTCGGACTGGCCGACTTTTGTCTATGGCGTGAACTCGGACTCATATACTTCTCGTGAGGAGTGCCGCGTTGTGTCTAATGCCAGCTGCACTACTAACTGCGTGACCCCTGTCTTCAAGGTACTGAAGGTGACTTTTGGGATTATATAGGGCTTCCCGACTACTACTCATGCTGCCACTCGCTCCTAGCAAGTATTAGATGGGTATAGCAAGAAGAACCGGCGTCTGGATAGGGAAACCATTGCTAATCCCCCTTCGTTATTCAATATCTAAGAATTCTATTTCACAAATAGGCCGCGGCGTCTTTAACAACATCATCCCTACCACCACTAGGGCTGCTAAAGCAGTCGCGGCTGTGCTCCCTGACATGAAAGGCAAGGTGGCCGGGGTTTCCATCCGTGCCCCAACGTAAGTTCGTATAACGAAAAATATAGAGAAAAACTCGACTTAGGCCTAATGTCTCAATGATCGACCTCACAATCAGCACCGAGAAGCCCACCTCCCTCTCTGAGATCCTCTCTGCCTTCCGTGTTGCCGCAAAATCCGACATAGCTGGCGTCCTTCGAGTCACCGACGAGGAGCTCGAGAGCGCCGACTACAACGGCAGTCCCTACAGCGCAATCGTTGATGCTCCTGCGTGTACAGAGCTTAACCCTTAGGTAAGATCATTGTCTTCGATATAACGTGATCATGTACTGATATGGCCGGCTACAGTTCTTTAAAATTATGGCTTAGTACAATAATGAATGGGGATACTCGAACTGTCTGCTTGATTTAATGACATTGGTGCATGTCCACGAGGCTGCGTGATCGATTTAATATTTATGATCTGGAGTTCGGGACTTCGGGTTTTTAGAGCATAGATTCGGTGTTCGATCTAGATTCAATCAGAAATTTTCTTTCCCTTTCCCTATTCCAACTAGATCGTTAGGTAAGTACTCAACCTACTTCGACCGTAAATGATCATTACCAGCAAACTCCTTCCTAACTAACGTACTCCACGGTCGACCCGATCACACAGCCCAGTCGTCCGCGTTAACCAAATCGACATTGCCACGTCGAGCCACACTGTCGGCAGCGAAGACGTGCTTAACGCCCACAACGCCTAGCTAGGGGCAGTGTTAGAGGCAATCTTTTATGTCCAGAGGATGCCCCCCCCGTTTCCAGATGTCATCGGGGAAAATACACACTATAATCGTCGTGAGTAACCCTACTGTTTTGCAGTCTCTCGCGAAACCGCATCTCTAAAGCGGGCAGGCTCTTTATCACCCAGGTCACCGACGGGGCCACGTGTGAAGAACTAGACCTTGAAAGGATCCGTTCTGATCTGATCTGCATCCGGATCCGCCCTATTTTGAGGTCTATGAAGAACTTATGGAACGTCACTGTTTATGATTATCCAATCGCAAAAAAAGCTAGCTAACTAATTAACTTTAACTTAACTAGTGTAGTGGGGGATAGAGTGACATTATTTTGACTAGCCGTTTTTGCCTTGTGGTTTGTTTGGCGAGTTTGTATTAGCGGATTTCTGCGGAAATTATGAGCTGGAGAACAGATGGAAGGGACACACGACGAGGAAGGACATCAAAGGAAGTACACGAAGGCGGAGTGGACGCGCACTGGATTCTAAATTCGTGTGGGGAACCCGCTTAAGACCCGGACACAATGGGAGAGACGTGAATAAACGGATGATGGTTTTGGATCTGCCTGGTACACTAGGACAGGTATGTACATCTATTTTGTGGCGTAGATGCTACGAACTAACTTGTACGCTCAGGTCGAGGATAACGGGAATGGGTTTTCTCCAAAACGTTAGAGAACCCTGGTAGAGATTTTGCGATGCGTGTGACATGTTCGATTGAAACGGACACAATGGCCAGAGGCTAAGTAAACAGCGAGGATGGTAAATGAACGAATGTCGATTGTTTAAAGTATCAACATCGCTTCGATTCCGCATATTTTCCCGAGTCGCCTATCCACATGACGCGTATTCAAAGCTTGTAAGGAACTGGCTGGTTCCGCCGAATCCACTCTGCTTCCGCCTTGGATCCCAAAGGTGGTGGCTCGAGACCGCGAATACTCCACAGGTCTCGCGAGGGTTCCTCAATATGAAACTCCCAATCAAGGCCTTTTTCCGCAATGTGAGGTGCCAACACACGATTGACACGGTTGACCCATTTCGCTCTGTACACATGACCGTGGTGTTGACCAGCAAGTTCGTGGATGACAAAACGCACCATTTTCTCGTTATGCTCACCACCAACGTAGATAGAAGCTGTTGGTTGGAAGACAACCTGCGTGTAGAATGGTGGGATCATGTTGTAGACTTTGGTGGTAATATCCCGCGCCAACGCACTGCAGGATTCCTCCGTGGAGAATTGAGAGGGATGATGGTAGACCAGCCAGACTGGCATGGTGGGTGGATATGTCTGGACTAGAAATCTGGCTGAGAGAGAAGTGCTCGGGTCGGAGTTGGAATTGCCGTCAACCAAGGAACCAAGTGTTCCCTTATACCATCGCGGCTACAGTTGATCCACCGTTTATCTTATCATATGGCCCTAACGTGATACCAAACCCAGCTCCTTGAAGTGTACTTCGTACGTACGCCGAAACATAATTACAGACCGAGTGCCGATCCGAGGTTATCATTTCACGGTACTTGATGTGCGCTATTTGCCCAAAGCCGAAAATCACCTGAGGTGCAGATTAGTAACTGATTATTGAAAAAAAAAAAAAATGACCCGAGGTTGCAACTTGCCGGGGGCGGGGAAGGGGGGTTCCTCCAATCTCGGAAGACTTATAACGAAATGTTCCCCGATACTGGTTTAAGCGTCATAAAACCTGCATCTATATCAATAGAGGGATCATGTCAGCTTCAACGATCTTAGTCACTGGCGTGTCCGGGTACATCGCAACCCATGTTGCGAAGAGCTTTATCTCCCACGGTTATCGTGTTCGTGGCACAGTACGCAACCAGGAAACAGCTGAGAAAGTCCGAGAAACATTTTCCCAAACGCCTGGCTGCATTGAGATTGTAATTGTTCCCGACATTGCGAAAAAGGATGCCTTCAATGAAGCCGTCCGGGACGTTGATGGCGTTGTCCACACTGCTTCCCCATTCTTCTATAAAGTAAGCGACTTTGACAAAGACATGCGAGAGCCTGCAGTAAACGGAACACTTGGGCTTCTGAAGGCTGTCAAATCATTCAACTCGAAGGTCAAACGCGTGGTGATCACTTCATCTTTTGTTGCCATGCAGGACTTTTCGAAGGGTCACCGTCCTGGATATATCTATACAGAAAAAGACTGGAACCCCGTTGACTTGGACATGGCTTACAAGTATCCAAGTTTAGGATACGTGTGAGTCTTCCCCCCTCCTTAAAAAGGTATCCTGCTTACAAGTCTAGGGCATCGAAAACTCTTGCAGAACGAGCGGCTTGGGATTTCGTTCGAACGGAAAGACCAAATTTCACGCTTGCCACAATCAACCCGCCGATGGTCTATGGCCCTGTTGCACACACAGCCACGCTCAAGTCTCTGAACCAATCTGTGCTTGATATTTGGCAGCTCATGAGTGGCCAGGCAAAGAAGGTCCCCTCTACTAGTGTCCCACTTTTTGTCGACGTTCGCGACTGTGCTAAAGCACATGTCCGAGCATTCGAGAGTTTTAACGGTGGCCGATTTATTCCTGTTTCTGGATCCTTTTCCTTTAAAGATATCTGTAGTATCTTACAGGAAGAATTTCCGGAATACGCAGACCTAGTGCCAAATCCAGGGCCTCCGGACGCGTCTGAAACGTTTGGTATCGATAATAGCCTTTCGAAAAAGGAGCTTCAGATGAGTTTTGAGCGTTCGCTTCGGGAAACAATTAAGGATACCGCCCGCAGCTTGGATCAAATTGCAAAAAGGAAGGTGCATCCTGAGAAACTATGAATGCCTGTGGCTTCCCATTCCGCTCCCATTGCATGTATTCATGAGAGAATTGCATACTCCTCCTGTATAGTTTGACCCCAAGATATAATGCAATGTGATCTATATAGCCCACAACTAGAAGCTTGCGCTCATTCTAACAGCGGCGACGCCTGCAGGATGCCTGTAGACTCACAGCACTTCTCAGGTCCTTCTTGCAGTAGTTTTGCAGTCCTCCTAGTACAGAAGTTTACAACCTAAGAAATATTGACTAGGTTTCATAGTAGTCGTTTCGGCGGCAGGTTGTCCTATGCTCCGCTAACGTCCAGGGTTCATAGGGTCGCTATTTGACGACGGCCACCATATGCCGTGGACACCACCAGGGGACTCAGCATCAATCAATTACGTCTTCATCTTCCCCCTTCCTGCCCTCTCTGGTGTAGTGACTCCTTTTCTCTTGAGCTCGGCGCACTATGCTGATAAAATTTCAGCCGCGGCCAATGCTTTTCACCAGAAGTTCGATGCCCTTATTTCGTATATCCCCTCCTAAAATTTACTGAGCACTGTGGGGTATATAAATACTCCCGGCTATTTCCTGATGTGTGAATCGCATGCACACAGAGGCAGCACCTTCGCCAGAATATATCATTCGTCGCTGTCTATTTACTGCGAGGACTGACCTTCAAATTGAATCAGTTACATCAACTTACATTGCGGTGAGACACGACCAATGCATTATTATTTACTGCATAGTAGACCATTTCACTAGACCCGGCGAGCCTAAGCGATTCTACTTGATAGCTATCGAAAAGATTTATATGTCCTGTATTTAAAGTTCAAATATCTAGGAAATGTATACCACCGTGTTTAAAGTCGGTGAACGAAATAAACGAAATACCGAGTACCTAGGTGACTGTTTTGATTATGATTTCGCCACCCGCCATTTTTATATCCTCCATAGTGGCGACTACCATTCAAAAACCGTCAACAACCAGCCTCGGTCCGTTGCCAGCTCTGGGAACAGTAGTTACAGACATCTCATTTACTAATCAGGATCTCTCATCTTATGGTCTTTTTTTGGTGATCTGTGTCTAGCCTCGGCATAACAATGCTCATCACCGGCCTCTGCGGCAATAGACGTAGATAGGCAAACCCCTCAGCCGTTACTCAATTTCCATGATATAAACCCCCACGCCAGCCCCTAGTACTACTCACTCAATCGGCGGATATCTCCCTGCGGACTAGACTCTAGCGAGATTGATTAAATTTTCTTGATTTACGAGAAGCACGATTTTGCCTATACCTTCTCCATATGTCTTCCTTCCTTCGCGCCGACGTTTACGTGTCGTCTCGTCTGCCGGTTGCGACGCCAAGACGCGGAGACCCTGGCGGCTGGTCACCTATCTCATGCACGTTAATACAAGGCGACTCTAAAGCCGTTCTGGTTGACACACCGATTTCCATCGCGCAGACGGAAGACCTGGTTCGCTGGATCAAAGAAACAGCCCCAGGTAAAGATCTTCAGTATATCTATATCACCCATGGCCATGGCGACCACTGGTTTGGAATTACAGTATTGCGAAAGTTCTGGCCGAATGTGCGTGCCATAGCCACCCCTGGCACCGTCGTGCATATGAAACGGGAGCTGGATCCTGCGACATTTGAAGGATTCTGGCTCAAGAACTTTCCGGGTGACCAGATCGCCCAACCCGTCACTTTGGCTGAGCCAATGGAGTCAAACACGTTTCGCCTCGAGGACCACGATTTTCATGCCATCGACGTTGGCCATACCGATACCTATAACTCAACTGTGCTCCATGTTCCCAGCCTACATCTTGTTGTGGCTGGAGACGTTGTGTATGGAGATGTGCATCAGTTTTTCGGTGAGGCAAAAACGACTGAGAGGAGGAAAGAATGGCTTCGGGCCCTCGATACTATTGAAGCCCTAGAACCGCATACTGTTGTTGCAGGCCATAAGCGAGCCGGTACAGTCGATGGGATATTCAACCTGAGATCGACCAGAGAGTATATTCTGACGTTTGAGGACGCAGTTAAAACGTCTTCAAACTGGGAGGAGCTGTGGGAGAAGATGAAGACGTTGTATCCGGGGCGAATCAATACAAATGCCATCATGCATGGAGCCATAGCAGCGTTTAGCTAGCGTATCGGGCGAATGAGGGATTAGGGATGAATAGGGTTATTCTGTAACGTTATCTGTTATACAGGGAACGTAATGAGCAACGTTTTAGGGCAGAGTCATCGTCGAGATGGAACATCTAAAATCATGTAGACCAACGCATACGCGAAAAGACTGATACCTATGAAACAACTAATCCATCAAATACTGCATCCAACAGCCGAGAATAAACTTCCAAGGACTGCTCAATAAACCTAAAGAGTGTGTTGACTAATCTTAAAAAGTTCGCCAATAGGCTCATATTTGCCGTCGCCCCAGTTTAGGAATTTCGGATTAGTGATCAACCCGTGACGAGCCGCAAGTCTGATTACTACCACCAAAATACTGCGCTATTTCATTTCCGGTGGGTCGTCCCGTGTTACCAAACAATTTGCCACCACTGTATTTCATGCTTACGACACCCTACGGCGAAGTCCGTATTAATACCGTGTGGTGATTTATCTCGAGTGACAAGAGAGGGAGCGTGAAGATCCGTCGGTATCTTCCTTAATATATATAGCCAGGCGTTACCGGATAATGTAAGTGGTAGCTATCCAGAGTTACACCATTGCAACTAATTCGATATTTTATCAAGCGTGCGTTACAGCAAACTGGCGGAGAAGCATTCAGTCTAATCGTCAACACTTGTCAAATCATTGCCAGCTCCTGAAAATTAGCGATCATGTCGGCTCGAGATTCCGGGCAGGCCATCCGACCCGACAGATCGCTCACATCGCACGCCGGCTTACCGATTCCTGCTCAGGATGGACAGCAACAATTGATATCTCCACCTCAAAGCCGGGAAAATTCGAATGCTACCACACCGCCAACCATATTGCCGGTACTTTCTGCTTCTATGTACCCGATTCCAGAAGCCCAGAGTCAAAATCCCGGCGTTGAAGATCGAGTTCCTCCGTACGGGGGATTTTTTGTATTTCAACAGGAGATCGAGAATGATGACGGCCACTTCAATTCACAATTATCTCCGGCCCCTCTATCATCCAGAGCGCAAAATAACTCCCCAAAACGCGATTTGATAAAGTCCGGAGAGAAGACAGAGAGCAAGCCCGCCCGAAAGAGAGGCAGGCCGAGAAAAATAGTCAATCTTGATAATACAGGATCTGATGAGGTAGTATTTCCTTCCACCCCATCAAGCATTGAATTTCTGTTATAATGGTCCAAATTTTCTTGCATTGCTTGTAATGTTGTCTTTTCTCCTTCTCTTGGATTGTTTCTGTATTATCCCCCAGTTCTAACGCGCTCATAGCACCGCCGAACCCAGCTTCGTCTCGCACAAAGGGCGTATCGATGCCGAAAAGAGACAAAAATATCGGCTTTAGAGAATCGCATCGCCGAACTGGAATGTACAATTAAGAGGATGGGTGGCTCACATGAGGCCTAGCAAAGATGTTTCGGATGAGACATTTTGAAAGCTAAACCTTCCTCTTCAACCACCAACATTTTTTATTTTTGGTACTCGCCCAACAGATAACAGAGCTTGATGAAACTCTTGACTGCAGTCTCCCGTTAAGAAAGAAGACTCTTCCCTACCAATGACCGTACGGATATGTGGATCATGGTTCCTGATGGGATCCGAATCCCACAGCCTATTTGATGCCAACCTACAGATCTTGACCCTGTGTTGATGGCTGTGCTGGTATTGGTTGTGTGCCGTGCAACGAGCAGTATTGCGACTTTCAATTGAATATACAAGGACACATGCACCATATTTCTTTATATTTATATCTGCGATAATTATGCGATCGGTTCGCGCATCATGCCTATGTTAACCAAATCATGAAGTTTATCGTCAATAGTTCCAGCCCCAACTAAGACTCGTCTCGTTGTGTTAGTGATACTCTCTACAATACCATAAAGAGATCCCCATTCAGTCCCAGCGGGAAGAGGTAAGGCTGTACGTCGTACACGATTCTTTTCATCCGGCTTTTAAACTTGCCTGGAGTTATTCCTAATCCATCAAGTCAAAATTCTTGATGCGTGAATCTGAGCTGAACACTTCAGCTGTCTCGTTATATTTTACAGTCACTCAATTTCCAGTTATATAGCGTCTATGTACGTAACTATGAAATATACGAGGCAGTCGCTTAGTTTCAGCTACAATTAGAAATCCTCTTGCTGCCTTCAGCTCAGTCGTTGTGGTTTACCAGGACATCCCGCCACATATATATTGATCATGTACAGAAGACATCGCCTTCAAATGAAGTGAAACGGCACAGGCGATCAAGATAACATCCCATAACCGAATGAGTTTCATCTAATTCAACAAAAACGTGTTACCTTATATCCACATTACGGTATCCAGATCATTCTCGTTCGACATGTTTTATTCTTGGAAAGTAATCAAAACCAGTACTGTACAAACTCAGCCGCCAGGGGAAGAATAGAACAGACTTCCATGCCGTTCCAAATACCGCACGCTCGCCGTTATTTGGAAACTGCCCGTTTGGCGTCCATGTGGATCTTTAAGATGGGTGCTATGTTCTCTGGCTGCACCCGTTCCCACAGCGATCCTTTGCCAGCATTTCTGCCCTCTTCATCTTCTCGACGGAAATATTCTTCGACAGTTCGGATACGATGGGGGTGAACCGTATCCAGCAATGCGTAATCCCGACGGATGACTCCCTGATTCTTTCCTGAGTGGCGCCACATATTCCAGAAGCCAGTGAAGTTCTGTTTGACCGTCATGGATGCAGGGTCATTGCGATCCGCGCTATATCCAGCAACGTGGTCTGCATAAGCAGACATAGGACCAGATTGCCAGTATTCCTCCATGGGGGTGTCAACATATCGTGCCCGGTGGCCGGTAACTTTCTCAAAGGCCTTTGCGAGATCAACATAGTGAACATGGTCCATGGCAACCTCGAGATTAGTCCCATTGGACCGGGCTGGATCATCGAAGATCCAGCGGGCGTAATTTGCGCAGTCGTCGAGGGCGACATGGGCCACCGCTCCCTCACCGAGCGGGGCGCGCCAGACCGCCACCTTTTCTCCATCATCATCTGTCACAATCGAGGGCGACATAGGGCCACCGCGAGCTATGGTCATTTCGATGTACGGACCCGTAGTGAAGACGGCAACTGCCATTTTGTACGAGCCCGGAAGGTTTGCCTTGTTACTTTCATGCTCCGCCAGGAGCCAATCGCCAACACGCCCCTTTCCATCGTAGTGGCCCGTCCGAAAGATGGGGTTGTAGCCGGATTTCTTATAGACAAAGTCCAGGTTCCCGTAGACGAAAAAGTTAATTCCTCCGTCCTCGACAGCAAGTTCATATGCCCGCATGGCCCAGTAGGTCTCCGTTTTCTCGCCAGTGTTAAAGCCATCGATGTTGACGAAGGCGCCATCGCAGCCACGGTAGCCGTTCCTGATATCTTCTTCGCTCGTAAATGAGCCCTCAACGAGTTCGACATGACCCAATGCCAGCAGCTCTTGGGCCCGAGGTGACTTGGAGTCTCGTGTCAGGATTCGGCAGAAGTACTTGCCGTCGGAGACGAGACCGCGCACCACAGGGAGACCCTGGGCTCCGGTTCCGCCAATGACGAAGATCTTCGTGACAGAGTGAGATGACATTAAGATCAACTTGAGATATTGAGAATGCTGCTTTACTGGCAGTCCGTTTCGTTGCTTTTGTGGCTTATTCGCGGGTACTGGGGATGCTGATTAAGGTCTTGAACCTAAAGGGATCGGGGATTCCACAGACCCGGTTTATATATGTGGTGATCACCGTCCGAAAAATTATGTCCAGCCCCCGGCTAATTCTATATGATTATTCTCTATTTCTGATCAGATAATGGATGAGAAAATACGGTGGAACAATATTCTCAACGTCTGCTTTCAGACATTCGCGCACGCATATTTAAATTTGTCTTTAATTATGCCGAGGTCAAAATCACCACACGATGCGGCTTTCCAGCGTCTTTCGTGTTGAGTCAACCGAAAATGTCTCAAGAGCCAAATTCTGTTCATCAGATAGTCTCAAAAATGCACATCGATGTTGACTAATCAAATATTGCATGCGCCTCGGGTATGCTCTCCCTCCCGCCCCCTTTGCTAACAAAACATGAATATTTCATCAAGCGCATCCGTCAAACAAAATACAGGCAGCCAACGAAAGATTTCCCTTCCTGCAAAATCCTCAAGAGATAATCCATATTATAGAATTAGGCCTCGGTCATTCCCAGAGCCCTGATTAATCAGCACGGATAGGGCGGATGTGAGATATCGCAATAGACAAAATACTGGATTCTCCCTTCCACGTGTTGTATCTTGACCTCGCCATATTGCCTATTCGGGTTCCCATGGGTAACCCACGATCCGCCAAAGACCCGTGAGGCCCTAAATTACAGAATTGCCAATGAAATACACGTAATTACCCGTAGAAAATGCGAGTAATATTGTCTATATTCCTGTTATCGATTATCCTGAGCGGGTTTTACGGCCGGGGTCGAAACCCGGCCCGCGTTTTTGGCGAGGCCTGAAGTCTGTATCCGCCACTTCTAACCGGTGATAAAAAAGACGCGGGGCTGCCTCTGCAGTTCATCTTAATGCTTTATTTCAAGCACACCAGAATGGTAACGATCAACCTGTGACCAAGACGCTCTTAGACATTGTCTTCAAGATGCTCGTAGTCCAGCAGAAGGTCTCCATCGTTCTGGACGCGTTGGATGAATTGAAAACAAGGGATGATGTTCTCCTGTGGATCAAGAACGTGGTGTCCAGACCAGAGTTAGGCCATGTCCAGCTGCTTTATACCTGCCGTCTACTAGCTGCCTGCCGTCTACTAGGTGCCTGCCGTCTACTAGGTGCCTGCCGTCTACTAGGTACCTACTGTCTACCTGCTGCCTGCTATCCACTAGGTGCCTACCATCCACTAGGTGCCTGCCGTCTACTAGGTACCTACCATCTACTTAGTACCTGCCGTCTACTTGGTGCCTACCGTCTACTAGGTGCCTACCGTCTACTAGGTGCCTGCCGTCTACTAGGTGCCTGCTGTCTACTTAGTACCTACCGTCTACTAGGTGCCTACCGTCTACTAGCTGCCTGCCGTCTACTAGCTTACTACTAGCCTAGTCCCTGCCTAGGCTGCCGGCCCCTACTACTAGCTTAGTATTAGTAGCCTTATAGTAGTACCCTAGCTATAGTAGCCTAGTAGTAGTAGCTTTATACTAGCCTATCTTAGCTAGTAGGAAAATCTAGTAGTACTTCGGTCATTCCTTATAGTATAGAGACTAATTACGTAATTCCCACCTACTAGCCCTCTAGCTATATAGTAGATCTACCTAATATAGAAGACCTGATTTAAATAGCTTAGCTTATTAGCTAGTTATAAGGCTTAGGAGTAGATAGCCCTATAGCCCTAGAGTGCCAGATTGCTAAGGCTACTAATATAGGCTTAGGAAGGCTGGCCGAAAGCAGTATAGCTTACCCGTAGGTACTGGCCTTGGCATCCCCCATCAAAAAATAATTCACGTAACCCAGGCCCTATAGGGTAACCCCTTTCTAGCTATAAATCTAGTAATATTTTTTGATAGGAAGATAATTTAGGCTATATTATTAAAAGATTTCGAAGACCCGATCGGAAAATTCCACTATTTAATATACTTGGGGGGGGGATCGGAAAATTCCACTATTTAATATACTTTGGGGGGGGGGGGGGGAGGATTTAAACCTTAAATTTATGCCCCCCCCCCCCCCCCCGGCCAAGACTTTCTTAACTATGTGCCCCCCCGGGGCATGGCCCGACTATATTTAGGGTCTAATCTGAGGTCAATGCCTTGGCCTTTAATTTAGCGAACGGATGTAATTAGCAGCTGATTTATTTTATAGAAATAATGAAGCATAAAAGAGTGTACGGATTTATCGTCTTTATGAATTTCTCTTTGCAGACGCTGGAATTGAATCGGGCCCGGAATGCTATTTTTTGAAGCAGCTTTATAGCAATAAGTAGTTTTGTCATGTCATTCACCGAATGCAGGCAGGAAAAAGAAAGCTTTGGTTACTCTTCAGCCAAATTTCCTTGTCGCATGGTTACCTGATTTGTGGGTCATGTAACCCTAGAAGATTGAAACTCTGTTTTAACCATAGAATGCTAAGAGGATATCCCGTGTGGTTCTATTCGAACTGTGAATGGGACAGTCTAATAATAAATTTGGTGTACAGAGTCGATTCCAGCTCCAAGAAGCAGTTGAAGCGAATCTTACGCGTCTATCTATAGATACTCATACGCTTCTCTTCTACACAGCGCAACCGGCGATTACCAATGCGTAGATGTTAAGAGATGCAGAATATTTTATTGCATTGTCTGCTCAGCTGATAGTGGTTGACAGTTCAGACCATTTAGATACTATGTTGCTGATGTGTATGATTCATATCAATTTCACCCACTGCTTTACCACCCGGGAGAAGCTATAAATTCGGGACGAACCTCCTGCCTTATCTTCATTCGCTAAAATTTGAACAAAAGAAAACAGGGTCATTGGGGCAATAGCCAACGGCCAATTGGCCCCCAACACCAGTGGAGCTGCTGGAAGCCGAAGATCCGAGGGATATTATATGTTAGTATAAGGGACGCCACTTATATGTCAAAAAATATATGATCGAACTGAGGCATAAGTGGTGTTTGAACAGCAACTTCACTGAATATAGATGATTGACAAGCTTTTTATTTTTATCAGTGGAAGGATATATCAATTGTCCCGAAGCGTGACATCGATGTCAAAAATCAGAGGCCTTTGCTAACCAGACGCTGACTCAAAAGACAAACTGACGTTCATGCTGAACTTTTGATATAGGTTATCCTTTTTTGAATTAAGCGCACGGTTTCTTTTGAAAAAAATCTAGACCAAGAACAGGCATGACACTTCGACCTATTCGACTAGGCGTCTTACAGCTTGGTCATGGGGGGTTTTCTTGGGGATATGGTGGGGATATGGGGATAGAGGTGTCATGGTGAGGAATTTGAATAATGATATGAGTGCTTGCAGACATCTTTACTCAATGCGTACGTTATTTCCATGGGTTCCACTGTTCCCGCCCGGGCGGCCTAAAAGATGGTCACGTCCTTTAAGTTTCTAGGTAGCCGCTAAAGACTCTGTTCGTTGCAAGGGCTGCTACAGCTTGTAACTTTTCTTGGCCCTTTTTTAGCTTTCGAGCAATCTAGCCTTTCTTAAATAACATGATAAAAGATCCCCTTAATGCGGTAGAGAGCGCAAGGTAACTATAAGCGCTAGTGAACTCAACCCACAACCCAACGGATGAGAGATGTTCTCCACTAATTCCTTGACTTTATGCTAACCGCAGGCCTGGTGTTGTAGTCACATGCGGAGGCTTGCAGGGAGGAAGTGGGGCGGAGGGCCCCACCTTGCTCAGCTTCATCCATTAGGCGGTGTCGGTGTTTGTGAGATTGTTTTGAAAGCTTGGCAGTACCTTTGAACCATTTTTCGCTGGTACGGTTCTGGTCTCGGCCCTCAAGAGCTTTTAATTCCAAGACAACTGAACCGAGTTGTAAACTTCAAACCCAATTCGAACATACGACTCGAGGGATATCGTAACCTATGCCGAAAGTCTAATTGAATCGATCCATTGACATTCCCAATTTCAAATTAGACTTCCGCAAAACCCAACTTGGGTCGAAGGTCTCGACCCAAAACCCAGCGATGAAAAATATATAACCCAGATTTTTACATTAAAATACATAAATATGCGAAGATTTTCCTAATTAGGACTACTTATACATACTTATGCATAGAGTTGGGTCGAAAATGGGTTATTGGGTTCTTGGCAATGCCAAGATTGGGTCAAAAGTTGGGTTTTGCGGAAGTCTATTTCAAATCCATATTCCATCCATCCTCACAGTATCCCGCACAGGGTTGTTTAGATGCCATAAGGTTTGATGCCTTTCGCGGCTAAAATCTAGCCTCAGCTCTTGGACAATTTTGATTCGGTCCAATATATTCGTCATAGAAGTAACTTACCAAAGTATGCAGTGGTCGATCCACGTTCCAGAGGAAAATGTATTCCGTAGACATACATCAGTATGACGACCACCAGGTAAAATTTAAAGCTGCGCTCATCACTGCACTAAGCATACCATGTGCTGCACCTCTAAGTGATAAATTTCACTTAGTAGATTGCTCAATGTAGGGCTCAATATCGTTACATAATCATACGCTGTGCTGCCTATAAATACACCCGAAGTAATCCTTCAACTATCTTCTCTCATTGCCTCTATCCCATATTGTCGGCCTCATATCACCTATGGTACCGACAAGCCGACTAAAGTTAATCCTGATCCACAGTATTTAAATCAACCGCACCAACCTAAACCTCCCATAATGAGTACTCAACCGAAAGTCGTGCCAGGGCAATGGATCGTCAGTGTCAAGCCTTATTTGACCCCCGAGTTGCTGCAAAGCGAGCATCTCTCTGCACTAGAAGACATGACGATCGATCCCAGTACCCCTTTCAAGATGGAAGTCCTCCAAAAGTTCGACCTTCCCGAAATAAAAGGCTACTCAGCTAAGTTTGATGACGCAACTAAAATCGAGCTAGAGAGAATGCCTCATGTGAGCAAACAAGTCACTGATAGAATTTTGTAATTTGTCACTTCAGAAGTAAGTTTTGCTGACCCCAACTCTTCTTCACATTCCAGGTCCTGGCTATCGAGCCAGAGCAGCTATACAGCCACTGCGCTGTTCAGGCTGACGCGCCGTGGGGCCTAGGTCGTATCTCAACACGTACCAGACTCGGCCCTCCCCCCCTACAGCTACCAGTACAGGGAAGACGCGGCTGGCACCAATACAGTCGTCTATATCATCGATACAGGCATCAACGACCAGCATGTTGAATTTGAGAGGCGGGCCAGTAAGGGACCCAAGTTCGTGTCCGACGGTCCATCAAGCGACGAAGATATTCATGGCCATGGTACCCATTGCGCTGGTACGATTGCTAGTCGGGCGTACGGTGTGGCCAAGAGGGCCAACGTCGTAGGCGTCAAGGTCTTCAGCGACGCAACAGGATATGCGCAGACCAGCGACATCATCCGCGCCCTTGACTGGGTAGTTAGTGATGTCAATGAGCGGGGCATTAACGGTCATGCTGTGGTTAACATGAGTCTTGGAGGCGGAGCGAGTCCGGCTCTGGATAATGCTGTTGGGTCTGCTGTCCGTCACGGGACTGTGGTCTGTGTGGCTGCCGGCAATGGAGGTGATGTAGGTCAAGGGTGTATGACAAGCATCATTTGATTACTGACCTGTGAACAGCTGGCCGAGAATGGTTCCCCTGCTCGCGAGCCGCTTGCCATTACCGTTGGTGCAACAGATGTTGGAGACACACTTGCGTCTTTCTCAGGCTACGGAAAGAGTATGTCAATGAGTTCTCGGGAATCAAGCTTCTCTTAGAGCTTCGTTGCTAATGTGGTGATATAGTCGTTGACATACTTGCTCCTGGTGTCGATGTTCTTTCCTGCTGGATAGGTAGCCAAACGGCAACTAGGAGTATCAGTGGAACGTCTATGGGTAAATATATGCCAGTCTTGCAAAAGATCTTGATATGCTGACTGTTCGTCTAAGCAACACCTCACGTGTCGGGCGTCGCCAGCTGCCTCCTTAGTGATGCTTCTTGGACTCAACGCGACCCTTCCGAGATAATGCCCAGGATGCTTATTCTCGCAGACAAAAACAAAATCAACGGAATTACTCCCCCCAGGGAGAGGACAATTGACGCGTTGCTGCAAAATACCACTGGCGCGACTGACTAGTCGGTTGGAAAGTCTGGTGAAGGATTTCCTAATTTCAACTAGTTATACTGGCGGATCCAATCTTTTATTTTGAATTTTCTTACTTTTGAAGTGGTTACTTTGAGTACCCTCCATTTTCACTCCATTCTGTCTTTCTCCGTCAGCTGAGAGTATCAGTCGAAAAGTCTCGCCCCGTTCCCGCGACAAGTTAGCATGAATCAATTACTGTGCCATCGTTGAGGAGGCTTCCCTGTTCATAAAAGAGACTATAGACAACCGTAGTTTGTAATGAAGGAGATCGATCCGATGACACTAACCAGAGCTCTCGCAATGGGTCTCGGTAAAGTAGGGGGAATCTAACGAACGAGGGTTTCCAGTAGGTAGCGCGTGTTGCGTTTGATTATAGGGCTCGACGCTCAAGTTGTGCCCAGTGAGCAAAAGCTGCCAGAGGCCAAGCACTAAAACAGACAGCGAAGCCAAGACCTGGCATAGAAAATCCGCTTAACTTCACGGGAATCGAAAAGGAAATTTAATATTGACTGCTGTCAATTTTCAAGGGAAGAACACCATTGTCAGAGCAGCAATCGCATTCATGCTAGTGCTACCGCGCTTCATACTAGTCTCAAGGTGCATGTTACTGGCCGCGCCTTGCTGTGACACAAGAATGGACATCATCATCAACGCGCTCTTCTGACGAAATTTATAATTCTTGAACCACAATTTCTGCTTTTGCATGGACTGGATTCATTGATATTCGACCGAGCAGAGCTGAAGCATCTCAATCGACCCTCTGCCTTGGTCCTGTACAAGCGCTTCCTCTGCAGTCAGCTACTCGTGTGAGAGAGCCATAACTAACAAAACTAAATTGCTGCTGATTCCTATAACACAGCGAAGAAGCCCCGAGACGGGTGCCAATGGTACCCATCTCCAGGTGCTTCATGTTAGACTTATAGGCATTCAATCAGCAGTCATGTCGCCGATTCGGACAGAGGACGAGGCAGACAGCGGAGGTCCGTGCGGTGTTGACTACTGTAGCTAGTTAACTTACCTTCATCCGTTGGCATGTCATATTCTTGGTTTACCACCGAGGCATCTCCCAGGGCAGGCCTTGCTGGGAGGGGAGGCAAAGTTGGAAAGCAAACTATAGCCTTATTTTGCTGCCCATATTGGGTATTACTATCGTTTTAAGAGAAAACCGTCGTCCCCATACCTGTTTGTCACTGTTAGCTACTGAGGGCACTGCGGTAGATATATATTTAAAACCAGTTTGTGTTTGGGAATGGAATTTAAATCGTAAGGCTCTCGTACCAAAATCTACAAGTGCGACCCCATACACCTCCAAAAATAGAACCTTGAGCGCCCCAAGGAACTACCAAGAACTGGGCAGGTTGCCCAGGATGGCTAATTGAACCCGGGTTGAACCTCAATTGAACCCCAGGTCATCACGTGATAATTGCGGCTATGCCTCTATTGGTATAACTAACTAGTAAACGAGGGGATTGCTCAATGGCAGTCTGGGCGGAACAGACAGGTCGAGACACGAAGGAGATGGGCTATTAGCAGAGGGGAAAGGCACTAGTAAACCCCACCAACATAGCCAAAAAAAAGAATAGGCCAGATGGCAGTGTCTCTTGGGGATCAGGCTTTCCTGGGGGAATTCTGTATCGACCAATCAGGGTGCAAAGAAAATGGTTGGAGAAGCAGCAGCAAAATGGCGTATAAAATCGATTCTCCTTCGTGCGTAAAGAGTGTGTGTCTCCGAAAGGGTCCTCGTCTCTCATAGAGGCCTTTCGCCGGAATCCTTCGCATCAACAAATCAAACCAGCCAATCAGCGCAAAGGAATCCCACAAGCCAAAAACCGAAGAGAGGAAGCCCGAAAGCCAAACCAGAAGAAACCAATACAACCAAGCCAGCAAGGAAATAGTCGCCTAACCTGTCAGGCAGCTATCCACCCATCATCAATTCCCCCACTAACACTAACTAGTTATGGGCTCAAGGACATGACTAATCGTGGCGGATTTACATTATCTCCTTTCTCCAGGTATCCACCAAATTCAGCTGCATCGACGGACTCCCGTTCATGGGCAAACTTAATTTGCCAGCCAAATCTCACATAATCAACCCTCTTTCCATTCTGCCAAATCTTGATCAGCAACGGGAGCCGAAGGGATCTGCGGCTTTTTCAGCGAAAGCCCCGCCCCTGCCGTTCCAGTGTACCGGAAATGGCACGCAAACTTCCTTTCCCACGGAGAGATCTACCTCCTTCAGTGGAGACGGTCGTATCCTCGTCCTTATCTACAAGTATGATCTTCTTACAGTAACAAGGTAATTGCCAGAGTGAAGGAGTGAGTCATCATGGTGAAGCCTAACATTTGAACTATCAACCTGGGCTCTCTACAGTAATGTGAAAGAACCCCGCGAGCTATTCCGTCTGCAGAGAAGGACCCGGCACTATAATTGATTATTCAACAGGGTTACTATGTAATTTTGTAAGCTAAAAGCATTGTAACTAAATATCTCCGACCGTGCATAGATGAGCCAGAAGCAAACCAGCCAAATAGTATTCATGTTTCAGGACAATTGTCCGTAGTCAGTCCGGGGAGCCTTTGGCCAGTATTGGTTTGATTGGCTGGACTTTCAGCACTCTTGGCGTGAGGCCCCTTGCCCCTTCCCACTTCAAGAAGCAAGAAGGGCTATAGCTCATCTTAATTGGTTGAATCGCCCTTGGGATGTAAGTTTTGTGAACGACCGCTGGATCTAAGACTTTGGCTGCTTAAGGAGGTGCAATCATCGGAGACGTCCTTACACTCTGAAGTTCAATGGCTCCTTATGCCACTAGAGTCTGAGTACTCTCACAACTCTCACGTGGGCGATTGAGATCATCGGCCAACTCTATCTCTCGCCAATTTTGTTCCGATCCACAATTTAGGCGTGTCTCGAGCACCAAAAGCAGAACCAGAATAAACCAAAATACCAGGATATTGCAGTTGACGATCTCCTGCCTCAGTTATCAGTGAATACTTAGAGTATTGTGCATATTTCACCGATATTTGCTCCGGCGCCATGAGACCCCGCAGATTATTCCCCAAATACCCAAGAAAGTCTGCTGCTATTCAACTTCCCGTCAGCTGTCCTAGGCTTGTAGACCGTCGTGTCGTGTAAGGCGACTAGAAGATACGAGCCGATCAAATTGGTGACAAGCGTTTAATTAGTGCTGAGTGAGTAATTCAGGCAAAGGTTATGAACAGACAAATTGTAACTTGGCACAGTTGGCACAGGTGGCGAAGCGTGGGGTTGGTTTACCCGTTCACGTCGGCTGAGGCTTGGTATAGAGAAGCTGAATATTAGGAATGTTAGATGAATGTTGTAATCTGAGGAATTTCGAGCCAAGATTGATTTGATCAGAAAACTATCCTGAACTAACGGAACAAATTGTGTTACACAACAAGTATTCTAAATGCAGGTTTCTCTCAGCAAAGTCCATATTTAACAAGTATCTCGCACGAAGGTTGTCTCGCACGAAGGTTGTCTTGCACGAAGGTTGTCTTGCACGAAGGTTGTCTTGCACGAAGGTTGTCCTGCACGAAGGTTGTCTTGCACGAAGGTTGTCCTGCACGAAGGTTGTCTTGCACGAAGGTTGTCTTGCACGAAGGTTGTCTTGCACGAAGGTTGTCTTGCACGAAGGTTGTCTTGCACGAAGGTTGTCTTGAACAAGAAGTATCCAACTAAAGACTACCCCATATGAACACATTCCACACTTTGAAAGTACGATCACTACGTTAATGAGTAATGTAGGATAATTTACTCTTACAAGTTAGTGCACCGTTTAATTAGTCAAAAGGATTCTGCGGCGGATGAATATGGGATACTATCGATATGCCATCTGCTCTGTCAAGAGAATAGGAAAATAGCTATACTGACTAATGAATAGGGTTGAATTGAACAGGGTTGAATTGAACAGGGTTGAATTGAACAGGGTTGAATTGAACAGGGTTGAATTGAACAGGGTTGACTTGAACAGGGTTGACTTGAACAGGATTGACTTGAACAGGGTTGACTTGAACAGGGTTGGGTAAAACTGATGGTTGCTACTGAATGTGTTGACTAAATGTGCCGCGGTCTTCTATTTGTCCCCATCTAGTTTGAGTCTAACTATCGAGTCGTTCCACGATCATTATTTACTTCTTGCACGTATTCTACGACATATAAGAGATGGCGTGCAAATGAAAGGCAGCAATGAATTACACAAATACATTTAAACATTATTGATAATTTTGGATTCTTAACAGTTGTTGCCACTTCCACAGCGGAGGGGCAAATATCGTGTAAAAGTTGAGGACAGATCTTGGCTTCCTCAGCCTGAACTGAGTAATAGTCTCCAGCACCGCGAAGAGGTGTCTGTCAATAGCTAGAGGACGGACGCGGAACATGTCATCGCAGCCCGACCTAGTGCTTGACGCAGGAATTATACATGACCGATGGTCTGCATGTGGAACTCAATCCGACCTAGACAACGCTCCAGGATTTTTACCCGGTACTTGATCCGGGATTTGTGCAAGACCGAAGTCTGCGTGTGGAACTGAATCCGACCTGGAGCCGTCAAGGAGCATAGCTCAGGATTTTTTACCTGGTACTTGATCCAGGATTTGTGCAAGACCGAAGTCTGCGTGTGGAACTAAATCCGACCTGGAGCCGTCAAGGAGCATAGCCCAGGATTTTTTACCTGGTACTTGATCCAGGGTTTGTGCAAGACCGAAGTCTGCGTGTGGAACTAAATCCGACCTGGAGCCGTCAAGGAGCATAGCCCAGGATTTTTTACCTGGTACTTGATCCAGGGTTTGTGCAAGACCGAAGTCTGCGTGTGGAACTAAATCCGACCTGGAGCCGTCAAGGAGCATAGCTCAGGATTTTTTACCTGGTACTTGATCCAGGATTTGTGCAAGACCGAAGTCTGCGTGTGGAACTGAATCCGACCTGGAGCCGTCAAGGAGCATAGCTCAGGATTTTTTACCTGGTACTT